GGGGGTTTTGGAATAGGATTTTCGTCACTGTGAGGCACAGGTCTCATCGCAGATGGTATGTTTGGGTAGTTAATAACCGATTTTTTTCTTGGACATACCTGTAGCTTGTCCAACACAAGGTACCATGCAAAAGTAACAATCATTAATATGATTTGTAGGCTCTCTCCAAACCATTGGGACAGCAAAGCGCATAGACCGTTTTTTGCCATTTAACCAGCTCCTCAGACTTGAAGCACATGTATGACAGCAGATGTGGGGTGCCCACTGTTTGTCTTGATCACCTAGTTTACAACCGAAATAAAGCTGATATGCCTTTGTTATTAGTGGAGTAATAGACCGTCTCTGAGACGCAAAAGTCACATCACCACACACGTAACAAAACTGATCTGGATTGTTTACACACTTTCGAGACATCTTGCATGAACGCTGTCAGCCAACTGCGGAAAAAATGGCTAATATAAAACAATATAATGTACACGTATGTATGACGTAACACAATCATGTCGATTACATCATCTTTAATTGCCGAATATAAAAATGTAGCACGTGCATTCTTGTGAATTACAGTATATTAACACTGTCACAGCAGGAACACTTATAATTACCGTATCTCTAAAACTTGAACTAATATTGAAAAAATAAGTTTCATTCCGGTTTTAGCACATTAAAAATAGTAATATTTTGTTGATTTTATTTAGGATATTTTTTGGCTGTTGATCAGTGTAATCAGTGCGCTAATAGAACAGCAGAAATATTTAATGAGCGACTGCCAAATGTATTAGTTTCCACTAATGATGATGTATTAGTTTTATTTAAGCTTTAAATCAATAAATCTTCAAAACTACTGAACTGAAGTACATTAATTTTATATCATTATAAAGGGAATTGAAAGACCTTTAAAATAAGGTATCACTCGATCCCCCTTTCCATTTGAGATTTTGGGGGTGGTGTCACCCCCGCTTAGAGGGCTGCACGTGCTCCGTGATTTTTTGCCAAACTTGTGTCCCCCTCGAAAACAAAATCGACGGGTTTGAGCGTCTGTTTCGTTTTCGATGCGCCACCCTGTATGTGTAGTGTGCCTTACTAGTGAAATGATTAAATTTTCAGCTTGATTCGTCAACTGACTGCAGAATCTGGTTCACTAATGTGTTGAGGATCTACGATTTCTTATACACTCATTGATACGCCTGAGCAGGGTGCTGATAAGGTGGTCGATATCTTGTTGGGGTATCTCATTCCAGGCTACTGCAACTTTGTGAGTAAGAGCTGCTAAAGTCTCTGAAGGGTGTTGCAAATTGAAGAGCCTGCGACCTATAATGTCCACTACATGTTCAATTGGAGATAGATCTGGCGTTCGTGATGGCCAAAGTAAACGGTTAATGCGAGTTTTTGTAAGGAAACATTTTTTGACCATAGTGTATAAAGCAAACTAACATTAATTTTTCATGTAGATTCAGACCCTTAAATATTCGTAAGGAACACCCTGAATATTGCAAAGTTGTACATTTTATTGAGATAAGCGACGTTCCTATTTTCTGATTATCTCTATTATTACTGAGCTTATTTATACACCACCAACTGATACACCAGTTACTGATGAGAATACAGAAAGATAACAAACAAAGTAATGTAATACACACTAACTAAGCCACATTGTTACACGTTTTCCTGATGTATGATAATTTTCTATTAAATATATCAGATTAGTCCTGAAGTTTATTATAACATGAACACATTGAGTACAGAGGTTAATGCAATAGTAAGTTAGTTCGTGGGGAAGGGAACTTAAAAGTCGCACGTGTTTCGAGTTAAAAAAATGGGGTATTGAACCGTAATAGTGATGAGAGAAGTGGGCAATTATAAATACCACGGACTGTTAGAAAGATTCAAGAGAATGTTTTTTTTCTAGTATCTAAGCTAACAAAGCAATGTTTTGCAATAGCTCGGCCTGGGGTGTTCCAATGGGCAGATATGTGCTCTCAAGCTTCGAGAATTATCAAAGATCACACCTAGGTCCTTACGCTCATGTACTCTATGCAAAGGACCATTGTCGATTTGAGAATTGAATTGAATGGGAACCACCTTTTTCTTGCGTATGACATAACACAACATTTGCTGATGTTGTTTAAGAGATTGTTAATGACACACCATTCTAATACCTTGTGAAAGTCACCCTGCAACGAGTACAATCCGCGCAGCTTTCTACATCGTAAAAAATCATCAAGTCATCTGCAGGAATCAAATGGTAACAATCGATATTATGACCAATGTCGTTAATAAAAATAATGAAAAGTAGGGTAAGGTTGCCCATATTGAACCACTTTTCCTAAAAATCTCTCTAGCATAGGGAAAGTTATTTAAATAATAAATCCAGTTGATCTAATGTATACTTTGGATATTTGAGAACACATAGGTATGCATAAATACTATTTAAAATAATGAACTATACTAAGTGACATATAAATCCGAACACCCAGTTTAAATGGTTTTATTTTAATAAAATTATGTATAAGTACTTAATGAAGCATAGTAAGTAAATGATAAAAATTTCAAAATGATTGCAATGCTTTAAAGCCCTTTGACCTTTAATAATGTGTGGATGCACCCTGATGTGCTACGCATTCTCCAACGCGCCTAGGCATGCTTCTGATCAGGTGGTCAATGTCCTCCTGTGGTATCTCATTCCAGGCAACCACCAACTCCTCTCGAAGTGCTTCTAGAGTCTGAGGAGGACGTTGTAAATTGAGCAATCTCCTACCCATCATATCCCACACGTGCTCAATTGGGGATAAGTCGGAAGATCTTGGTGGCCATGATAACAATGTGACATCATTATGTTGAACGAAGTCTATTGTGACTCTTGAAACATGTGGTCGGGCATTATCTTGTTGGACAGTTGGATCTGCCAGGGTGTCAAGATAGTGTAAAAGATGGGGTTCTAGAACTTCGTGGATATAACGCTGCGCGTTCATGTTACCTCTGATGAAGATTAAAGGTGACCTGGAACCATAAGCTATAGCACCCCAAACCATAACTCCAACAGTGTGATGAACATGTCTTTCAACAAAAAACTGTGGATTCCTCCTTTCACCACGTCGCCTTCTAACCCTGGCACGACCATCGTGCATGCCTAAACAAAATCGAGACTCGTCACTAAAGACAATACCGTTCCATTCCTGATTCCAGAGTGACCGTTGTCTGCACCACTCAAGGCCCTTTAACTCGGTGTTCTCGAGTTAAAGGGAGGACCCAGTGTGGCCGGTATAAAAACAAGCCAAAACTTCTCATTCGTCGGTAAACACTTCGCATGCCAATAGGTCTTCCGTGTTCTGCAAACCATTCATTTGCAATGGACCTGGTAGTGGAGAAACGGTCCCTTAAAGGCGCCTCCAGACTCACGGCGAGAAGCCCCGAGAACACCCGAGAAGCGTGAGTGTGAATGGTTCTAGCGCTCGCCTGTTCTCCGATTTAGGCGAATAATCTTAGGCGGCGATCTTCACGGTCTGTTGTTCTACGGCGGCGTCCAGTGCCCCTTGCTCTTTGCGTACGGCCTTCTCGAAGCCATGCCTGACAACACCTAACCACAGTGTCTACACTTCTTTGCACTCTAACTGCAATTGCCCGAAAGGAAAGTCCAGCTTCCCGAAGTCCCACTATACGGCCCCTATCAAACTCACTAAGTTGACGAAATCGTACAGGTCTCCGTACTCTAGGCATCGTAACCGATCGTAAAGGATGTCAAGAACCAAAATCCGCCAACGTTGATCTCCAACTGATTAGGCTGAAAATTTTTTCACTTGTTATTTACAGTAAGATAAATACATTCACCAACTTTTATTAAAATAAAACCATTTAAACTGGGTGTTTGGATTTATATGTCACTTAGTATATGTAGTATATAGACATCAATTTAATAAAATTGTACAAAGGTGTTGATAGCCAAACAATTTTCTTAAATATCAAGTTGAAGTCGGAGAAGTGTCGAATCTCTAATTTGTGATAGTACGTTTTTTTGACGTTTAATGCCATTTGCACCAAGAAAGCTTGTCGCACAAGTACACCATATTTCACGAGTATCCATCACGTGTTTGATGTCTTCTGAGGTGAACAGCTGATCAGCATGTGACATCTTTGTATTAGTCTGTGACATTGACAATGAATCGGACGTAAATCTAGTCAAATGAACTTTTCTAAATAAAAAGAATTGTTAGCAATTACAAAGTGAATCTGTAGCGCACAAAAAACGGAAACAAAATACTGCTCTATCTACCTGGCGTTGACGGATTCGTCAGAATCATGTGTCATTTTTGTCGATATGGGGAATTTTGCAAAATTACTAGAAAATTAGCTGTTATTATGATGGATACTCGTGAAAAAGACAATATCTGTAGGTCGTCAGCAAAACCATAAATATACATTTCGAAACTTTATTTTTGATTGTTCCTCCTAGTCCCTTTTGGCGCGAAAAAATACATTTTTGGATGGGTCAGAGTTTAAGAAACGTTTGTTTTTGTAAGTTTGTAAAACTCTTATTTTTAAGGTATGATGAAGACTATATTGCCATGTTTTGGTAAAAGACAGTAAAGTTCATTTTGTAAAATATTTCATATTAACTACATTTCCTAAGCATAAAATTAGTAAGTCAATTTATCAAAGCAAAATGCAGTATTCTCACTTATTTAGTCTTTTTATGTAATAATTCTATCATTTGTGAATATTTAAAATTACTTTTGCTACAAAACAATAATTTTGAAAAATATTCTTCGATACACTTAACATATAACATAAATGATTTTTGTTGAATGTAATCAAATGCAGTCAGAACTGTATGAAAATAAAATTCTACATTACTGCGTTTTTCCTTTAAAAAACGATATCAACCAATTATAAAAATTTCGAAAAAAAAAGGTAGTAAATTTGTTTTTGCTGAGCACAAAAGCAGTAAATCACATGTTACTGGTTTTTGATTTACAGCAATTAAAGACAGTCTATTATTTTAGGTCTCAGCAACAATTATGATCCGTCGTGATAATACTATTTATTTAGTTCGAAAAAATCTACAATTTTGAACTCAAATTTCTAAGATTTCGATTATTACAATTTGCACAATTTTGCAAAGCACTGGTATTTTTAGTCATGAATGGGCATCCCAAAATTTGGAAAAATCGTTTGTTGCCGCGAATCAACAATCATTTTTTCCATTCTTAATAAATTGGATAAACATTTTTTGAAATTCTATTCCATTAGAACATATACATACCAATATAACGTAATATTTAACATCAATTACAATCTTATATAAAACCAACTTTAGACTTTATAATTAGAACACACTCAGGTATATATTTCGGTCAATTATTGGACAAATTTCACTTCTGTTCCCCTTGATTTTCCTCCTCTATTTTCTTTCCCCCGCAGCCGCACATACACTGGTGCTCTTCTTCGTCAGGAATATTTTCCAAGCCTATAACCTTGTAAGGATCCCCCCATCGATCTCCTGCTCCTTTTGATAGTCTTCTGTCTCTCAGATATTGCTTCCTTTGCTCAAATGTATCCAGCGAACGCCTTGAAAAAGTACCAAAATTGTCTATGCACGCAAAAACCCAAGCTGACATTACATGGAAAAGATCTCGTCAAAGTTTATACAGAAAACGGCACTTCCTAGGCAACAGCTATGGTGAAAACGCATTCTGCAGCGCCAGTGTAGCTCGGGGCTGCCAGCAGGGCGGAGTTTTCTCACCCCTCTGTGGAGCCTCATGGTGAACGATCTGCTCGTTAGGCTAAGCAGTGCTGGTGTCTATATGCCTGCCTATGCTGACGATTTAAGAATAGTGGTTAGGAGTCGTTTGTGTGCGCTGTGGAATCGTAGTGCAGGGAGGTCGATCTTGCTGTCAACGCTGAAAAGACGGATCTGATTCTATTCACTAGAAGAAGGAAGCTTGAAGGGCTTATCTTTCCGACCTTCTTTGAGACTAGATTAGTTCTATCTCAATCAGTAAAATATCTCGGCATTATTATTATAGTATATATTAACCCAAAATGGCACACTGGCTCTATACGACTATAGTACGGCTCGCTGGTTAGGGCTCTGAATTGGAATCGAGAGACAAGCGCAGTGCCCGTTAACGCTTAAAGGTATGCTTAAAATTCCTGCACTCCTACAGTATATTCAGATAAGAGATAGACCCGACATAAACAAGACCACGTGATCATCGAACGCTGTAACATTCGGCAGGGACGTATTAAGAGTCACGCAGTACATATTTTAGATAATAGATGCTGCTTTGCGTAACTTTGTAGTAAATTAGCACAATTCGATGTGTATACGATTGGTGATGGATATAGGATCATGTGGGGGTGGGGTAAGAAATATATAATGATGTAAATATACATAAGGGTTTCAAAATTTTCGCTTCGATTTCCAGCTTCGGATGCCGCCTGATGTTTGTCGAAATACAGTCGAATATAATCTCAAAATGGCGTTTAAATTAGCCTAAATTAAAAATAATCGTATATCTCTTAAAATTGCCTTTATAATATTGATTAGTATATTTTTTGATTTCTAGGTAAATATGTAACCAAATTAAAACGTTCAAAACGTAAAAAAATGTGCATGGTTGAACATTGTCAGAAAGTAGATTCTTGAATAGGTTTTGCCAAAATGGGCTCAAAAATGTCAATAATTAATTAAAAAATACAGTAGCTTTATAATTACTTATAACTTACCGAATTTGATGAACGACATCTTTTATTGGAAAGATGAGCTTGATGAGCTTTCGTCATCGCTACTGCCTGAAGCACCAACGTCAATAATGAATGGCTCGACTTGTTCCTCTAAAATATTGTCCAGTTCCCACATTCTCTTTTCAACTTTGTCTTTCACGTGCTTAATACAGTTTTCCCATTTTTGCGCTGTTATTAATTCTAGTGCTTCTTTGAAAAGTCCTTTGAGGTCACAAAATTTAAAAGTTGTATTGTGCTTAGCTATATAATTTTTAACCTCTGCCCATATGAGCTCAATGGGATTGAGCTCGCAATGGTATGGAGGTAAACGGAGCACAGTTTTATTTTGACTTGCTGCCATTTCGTCAATGGCGTATTTTTGATATTCCGCCTTGTGATCCTTGACAATTCTTAATAATTGTACTTTCAGCATTGCTTCTTCAAAGTTGATATTTTTCGAGCGGAGCCAATTTTGAACATCAACTTTCCTTGAAGCCGTTGTTGGGACCTTCTCCATTCTTCGAGAATGATAAGGCGCATTATCCAACACAATTACTGCGTTTTCCTCTAAGTTCGGTAAAATGTTTACTGGTCATTGGCTCAGAAAAGGTGTGATTTTTTTTGTATTGTCTTAACACATTAAACACTGATGCGCGACACACCCCAACTTTGTGAGAAACCTTCACAACAATTTCTTTGATGGTTGATGCCTCGTTCTCCTCGCGCTCGATCTTAAAGATATTCAAAATGACCTCTTTCATTTCTGCACTCAGGTGTCTTTTTTTAGAGCGTTTCCTAGGTGGACTACAGGAGTTTACAACTTCATCGGCAGTATCTGTACTACTGGGCATTTTGCGCAAGCAGTTGATAACAATAACAATCAATAACAAGGTATAAAAATAACAACGACAAACTCAACAACTTAATAAGATAACAAACGAAAACGTCCAAAGAAATATCAAATTGCAATGATGCACAACGACATACGTAACACGTCTGAACCTGAATGTGACTCTGCCTTGATACGACTGCTCTGCCGCTCGGCATAGTCATTTAATTGCGAATTGACCAATGAGGGCTCCTGTTTTACGTCGAGACGGCGGCGTTAGCGTGAAAATCACCCGAACCTTTTGTTTACATCCGGTCTATCTCTTATCTGAATATACTGTAGTCGGTGTTGCAGTTTCTATGTCATTTAATATATCTATTAATTACCTGAATAGATTTCCAACTACAACGTAATTCATTACATAAGCAATCCCGTGCGGAGCAGCCATAGCTGCAGTTATAATGGCGAAAGATGGTATTATTTCAAACCACATGCCTAAAACTGTTGCACAAGGAAAATCTCTCTGGTTTTCTGCATTCAGCTGTCACAAAGACTTTGACAGATGAGAAATACAATTGAAAATGGGACTTCATACAGGGTGTGAAAGAATATGTGAACAGTCTTCCAGGTTAATATACACTGCGAACCAAATTTATCTGACGGCTTGAGTTCAATGTGTACGAGAAAGAAGTGCGTATAGACACATATGTCAGAAAGAGACAGAAGCCGCTTGTATAGCGTAGCTCATCACTGCGATGCCTAGAAAGTTTTCAGAAATATAATAATATACCTTTATTCTAATTACGTGTAATAATTATACAGATATTTCAGTGAAATTTGGCATACATCTACTATGTATCATGAGGCATTTTCAATGTACCACATTGTTTTAATTTTCACCAGTGCCGTTCGTACGGAACTTCACCTGGCTATTTTGATAGACGTTGATGGTACGCCACTGATTTCTCTTGGAACACCCAACCATTTCCAAACAAATTTATTCTCTTGATCTTTTGCAATCCGATGCACAAAATAATAACCGTTTCTCTGTACGTTGATATCTCAATATCTCCATGGAAGGAAATCGATTTTATTTTTTTAAGTGAAAACCGTGCATTGGACTGAAAAAATTATACCCATAAATACGGATTAAATTTTTTTTATTTTAAGAAAAGTCAATGACGTGCTACTGATATATTTTAAAAACGTTATCACCCTGTATCTCAAAAGCTAACGCATTCAGAACATAAGTTCATATAAAGATTTCTTGTTAAAATGAACCTGGAAATCGCCCTCTTAAACTATGACATTCAATAAAGAAACACCATGTATAATACACAGAGTTGACCACCCATCATCAACCGTAGGCTGTTATTTATCACTCAGTGGTCCTTAACTCTCGTTTAATATCAACGAATTCAAACCAGGTAGAAGGATTTGTTTGTCTTTTAATTCTCATAGTCTGTAGTCAGGATCAAAGTGCACTTGACATAAGTCAATTTTTGTTGACAGTCCTGTCAATAAATTCCTATTTATAGTGTTCCCTAGAAATCGCCCTCTTAAACTTTGACATTCAATAAAGAAACACCCTGTATAATACACAGAGGAGTTGACCACCCATCATCAACCGTAGGCTATTATTTATCACTCAATGGTCCTTAACTCTCGTTAAAAATCAACGAAACCAGGTAGAAGGATTTGTTTGTCTCTTAATTCTCATAGTCTGTAGTCAGGATCAAAGTGCACTTGACATAAGTCAATTTTTGTTGACAGTCCTGTCAATAAATTCCTATTTATAGTGTTATTTTTTAAGAATGCGAATGTTTGCAGAAATTGTGGTGTCAGGCGAAGACATTGTACTTCTTACATAATTTGCAAAGAGAGACGCAAGTTTGAAGATGTTTTCAACTGTAAGTATTATTGTAACAAGAATGAATGGTGCTATTAGCGTCATCTGTTGGGAATCGCGCCAGTGACTCTCCTTCGATGCGAGACTGACACAAAGTGGTACCACTAGCCACATTTGTTGAAAATCCATATAGGGTGAGACTTTGAAGTTGAGTCATTAATTTTCAGATAAGGATTGTAGAAGGAAGATAAACCAAAATATGTGTGTAAAAATAAAAAAAAATAAAAAAAATATTACCTTGTTTTATAAAGTATCCTCCCGACAAGTATTTCAGTGCGGACCTGTATTTGATCGTGCGGTCCTGGAACACCGGCATCCCTCCCCTATGAGGTCTTAAGTCACCTGATTCACGAGCCCTTTGTACTACATTAACAAAGGCACGAGGGGTTGGTTGCACTCGATTGGGAAACCGATTCGCACAAATTTGTGATGCCGCGGCAGCATTTTGTAAAGACTCCCCCCCCCGTAAATAAGAATCATGTCCACAAGTTCAGCATTTTCGTAAACATGTGCCATTTTTGATTTCGCTTGAGCCACGCAACAGACACCACTATTCACTCACGCGTTACCGACTGACACTGACTGTATACAACTGAATAAAATAATTATAAAAACATCGTTCCAAATTCTTTCGCTTTTTTGTTTCCGATGCGATGAATCGATAAGGCGGATTATATCCGTTGTTGCCAAACACGAGCACATAATATTATTATTGAGACAGGGCGGTACTCAAACTTCCAAAGGGCTATAACTTTGTTACTTTAATTTTACCAGAAAAATGGTAAAGGAAAAAAACATTTATTTTGATCAGATCTACGCACTGTTAAAATAAATGACTCAACTTCGAAGTCACCCTGTATATACGTAACAACCCTGTTGTAGGCACTGGTAGACAAATGATTCAAAAGTATTAACTAAAACTTCGGAAATTTAGCGAAAAGCTATGCAGTGTAACCATAAACTCCTGGCTCCTAACCTATTCGAATTCGTTGTTTAAAATATTTTCCCTTTCCTTGTGAAACACCTTGTAGATTAATATTCGTTACCTAGTTGAAATACAAGCTACTGCATTACTTTCGTTCACCAGTGAAACAGCATAAAGACGACACGGGTCGATTGTCCTCTTTTGTAAAATAGAACATTATTTTAAGCCAAGATTTATTTTTAATTTATATCGAGATGAGAGCTGTGTGTCGTGAGGGTGGGGAGGAGGAGGAGGAGGAAGAATAAAGAACGCGGCAACTGGCGGTACACTGCGACATGCCGTGATCTACGATTGAGGTGTTTAAATTGGGAGGAGCGCAACTGAACAGTGCAGTAGATCATTGTAGGATATGTCAGTAAAGTCAGTAAAAATAATTAAATTACAAATTGGTGGTTATGTGCCAGTCTTTATAGGATGAGTGGGTTCGAATCTCGTACTGAGAGATTTATCTTCTAGCTATGAATATTGTTGTCATTGCATGTTGATGGCCTATATCTAACGTGGAGGCGTCAGGATACCTACCACCAAAGAGTAGCTATATCAAGAGAAAAGACTTCGTCTATTTTTTTATTGCATCATCGCGTACTGATGAATACGATTAAAGCTATTCAGGTCTCACGTATAGTTTGATCTTAAACAGTAAACTTGACGAGTTTGCTATTCATCATCAAAATACGTAAGTTACGAATAGCTGTAACAATTCCATAACAGTAAGAGATGTAACCAAAACTTTTCGGTCGCCTCTTGGACTATTACTGGCTGCTGGTCCTCGGCTACCGTGGCGGTGTTGCCAAGCTGCCTTAATTTTTTTTTACACCCCAGAAACCTTGTTATTCCGATTCTTGAACTGCCTGAGATTAGTAGAACTGGGATCAGCCTCCTCATTGAGATTGTTCCACGATCTTGACGCCCTCTGGACAAAGGAGCGGTCGTATCGGCCAGTTCTGGATGTACGAGGTTCAATCCGGTTGGGATGGAAGGCTGAAGTCAGGCCGGTCCGTTTGGTAGCCACATCGCGCGGCGGCATCATGATGGACGAAAGAAACAGAAAATTGTCCCAGAATCGATTTTATTTTATCCCGGCTTTGTCGACTATAACAAGCATTATTTTTGCACAACAGAGGCACTCTACATAACTCCTCAGCTGTAGATTAATACTATTTGAATGCAAGATGTGTGCCTCGGTTTAGATATGGTCGATATGAAATGTGTTTAGAGAGCTACAACATCGTCGAGGGTTTGTGTGCTCTAAAATGTTTTTATCAGCTACATAAAATAATACTGCTTTCAATAGTACTCTTAAATAATATGAAAAAGTTTTAACAATATATTGCTCCCTCACCTGCACGGGTATCATGTAAAAAACCTATAAAACGTCAAAAAACATGTCATCTTGCAAACTGGGTAGTTTTTAGGGCGCAAACAGTCGTTCCATGTTTGCTCAGTAGGATCGTTGTGAACGTTCATCTATGGAGGAATCACTCAACTAAACTACACGCATTATTGGTTGCATGTGTTTTATGAGGCCAAGTGGTCCTAGTCTGTAGTTTTTATCTCTGAAAAGAAAGTTGGTTGAATAGCAAGATCGCATCTCGATGATTATGTGTATTGGTCTAAAGATTGATAACAAGGCTCATGACCTTTTCTTTCTCTTCTCGCTCCTACTTCCTTCCTAGTAAGCCTCATAACGTTTAGGTAACACGTACAACTAAGTGCTAAGCTAACATCTTGTAGAAAAACCTACATAATGTCAAAAGAAACAGCATAATGTCAAAAAAAATCGGCATAACGTCACTTTTCAAGATACGTGATACCCGTGCCGCACCCTCGTGAGGGCGCCCATGCCGGCCAAACTTGTGAACTTTGTGTGACGTCATTTTTCTGGGAAAGGTTTGCGCTGCGTCCTTTCTGCTGTTACGCCGCTGCGGTATAATAACGAGCGCCTCATATTTCAGATATTCGAGAACCGTTTCTGCGACAGGAGACACTCATCTACTTCTCTAATATTTTGTCTGTGGCGTATTATGGTTGGATTAGCGCCAGGACGCCCAGCACCGCTGCGACGCCGAATGCACAGCGGCGTACGATACATAGTTTCCACGGGAAACATTAGTAAAAATTAGGCCTATGGGCGAGAGAAAACAGCCGTAGGGCCAAAACAAGGAATTTCGTTCAATCAAAACAAGCGAAAATGTTAAGAGGCTGGCAGTGAAAATGCGGATATATTTTCTGCCTGTTTTTAAATTATTGCAGGTACCATCTCATTCAATATATTTACTGAACTGTCGATTTTTAATGCCATTTAGTTGTCTGTTTGATGCCTCTTGGTGTCAAAATATATCTGACCAAAGCTTATATTACACAACTTTAGATAAGATTTTATGCACAAATTAATCACTTACTGATGGTTGAGGTGGCAGTTTGCATAATTACTGGGTCTTTTTGATAGATTTAAAATTCAACCAATGCAAAATTCATTGATTACCGTACGAGATATGGAAACCAAAAACAAAAAAAATATTTTTAACAATCCGAGCCTTTACCTTCCCAGCCATTTTTTTATTTACGTTAGCTGCTACACACTGTTCGTGATACAATGTAAGAACACAATAATAATTGATACAAGAATAAAAAAACTCACTTTTGCTGTAGATGAGTTATAACATAAAACGTAAGAAAAAGGATCATCAGAAGTAACCATTTTTAAATCTTATTTTTCAACCTATTTCCGCCCTTGCTACACTGGTGCGGATTGACATTCTTGTTACACACCATGCCCTGAAATTCCTCCACTAGAAAACTCGGCTACTTCATTCAAATCAACCAAACCTCATGCTCTTGCAACAATTTTGCTGTAGGGTGACTTCTCGACTGTACTATAACATAGGAATGGAAGCAGGATATAGGCAACAGGTTATACACCCTAATAGAGCTCCATCCTTCATACTCGATCACGGTTATTCGATTCGATCTCGGGCATTCGACTTCGGTTTGACATGGACTATGAAACATGTTTCAACGTCACTGTGGCAGTTTGACAGTTATCAGCTGTAATGTTGACTTGCAGTGACATATCAATATTTGTTTTTGTTAAGTTCTATTTAATATTGTACTAATTAGAAGATCAGACCAGAAAATAATAACTATAGGATGTGATTAAGGAAGCCCCAATATTCCAGCACAACAATGTTCACGTTAAATAGTGCTTTAAGAATTCTTTGTTTTCTTATAATAATCTGCAGTGTCTCAAAATGTAGTGACATCACCCACTTGGTCTTCGGAGACCGTACAGATGGAATGCCAGCAGCTTTTGGTGATTTTAACTCTGACGAACTTACTGACGTATTCGTTCTGCGTAACAACTTACATACCATGGAGATACTCCTAGCTCATGAAGAAGAACCATTACTGAGGCCTTCGAGGCCAGATCCTTTAAGTTGTACATTCAAGGAGCACCTTATCACCAGTGTAGTGCCTGGTGATTTTGATGGAGATGCTCTAATGGATGTCATGGTTACTACCATCAAAGAAAAGGTACAGTCTGTGAAAATCAGAAGTTTGTCTCTTGTTGGCACAACAAGTATGGTTTAAAATAGATTAAGGCAAGAATACTCATCATATTCTTGTAGAGGAAGGTCCAAACTTTGAATTAGATCCTTTGTATTCTCAAGAGTAATGATTTTTAACCGAGTTTTCAAGAATCAAAGATGCCTGTTTTTAGGGTTTTTCAGGCATTGAACCAGTTATAACTCAAAAACAGTCATTTTGAGAGGCATGTTACTAAAGAGCCTTGTTCAAAATAACTTGAAAAGAGTGAAAAAAATTTCATCTACAGTAATGGACAAAAGTATATAGATAAATATGAATATTTACCTAAATACATTTAGAAAACGAATTCATACTTCATTGCTCCATAAACAAATGCGTTATTAGTAGAAAAACTAAATTTTACATTATCTGCAATGAACACAATACAAGTCTGAAATTCTTTCTGGATGAAAAAATACCAGTTCCCAAATGGCCTTCACAGTCTCCCGATCTAAACCCCATTGAAAATCTATGGAAATACTTAGATAAGCAAATACGAGATAAAAATTATTCAAACAAAGAAGAACTTTTTACCGCTTTAGAGCAAAAGTGGAGACTGATTGATGAATCTTATATCAAGAAACTTCTATAATCTATGCCGAGACGATGCCAGGCGGTGATTGATAATAATGGTTATTCTACAAAATATTAACACAAACATGGTTGGTTTTCTATAATTCAATGAACTTTGCTTCTTTTTTCTGTAATTGTTCTGCTTTGTCTATATATTTTTGTCCTTCATGGTTCCAGTTTTTTTCAGTTACTGTTTATTGAAGGGAGTCTAATGAATTTATTTATGTATAAAGGAGTATTATGCTATAGCGAATTATGTATACAAGTGGTGTATTAATAAAACAAGTTAAATAAGAAATGCAGCACAATATTAATTTGTCTATATACTTTTGTCCATTACTGTACCTTGGTTAATACTTGTTATTTGAAAATTATTGTTTTTCATGTTGCCAAGTATCCAAATAAAGTTCAAACCCTACTCTACAAGTCCTAGAAGAGTATCTTAGGCTTAGTTGGATCTGAAAGAAATTCTTATTTGTTAGGTTAACAAGCATTAACTTTTGATTTTCACATGTGTGTGAGTGTGCATTCCTAGTTTTACAAAATATGAACACTTTCCAGTCTGTCCTCAATGTCAACCTTTCATTATGAGTTATTAGTTTAGAACTACTCTTCATCATATAACCTAATCTATCCATGACCCAAATAAGACCAGATTTTATCCTTTCTATGGTAACTTGCAGTCCATATGTAATGAGGTTTTGAGCAGGGCTGATCAACTGATCAGTCTATCTCACAGTGACTCGGAGCTGGTGCTTTGCTGGTATGCTAACAGACTTTGTTCCCATCAGTTATCTTCAATCATGCTGCTGCATTTCAGCCCTGACAGACAGATTTGTCACCTAATGAATGTTCCTTGTTGATGAACGTATCATTAATGTTAAATAATCCGCCAGACAAGCCATAGACTGTCCAAAAATTGAATAGAAAAAATATGGGATTTTGGTGGAACTCTAGCGATTTTATTCAGACTAAAGTAACTGAGATCGCTTGAAGTTTTCATCAAATATTTATATTATAGGTGGTGGATGATCTAGAACGTAGACTAACTTATGTCTATATAATCTGGGGAGGTGCCACCTATCTGAACTGCTCGGATGGCTTTGAAGATAATTATATGGTTCACATGATTGGTCAGCCTCTAGCCATCGACTTCAACCAGGATATGATCATTGATCTTTTTGGTCAGAGTGTGAGATCAAGAAGGATGTTCTGGGTGTTTGGTAAAACAAGAGATAAGCCCATGGAAATTGAAATGGAAGAAAACAGTGTACCGCTGCCAGAGCTTAAGGTGCCTCATTCACATGCATTTTTGGGTAAGTTGTATATTTATGGTTGTGAATCTAACCAAATATAGATGCAGATTCGTTTAAATACTCTCTAAGCCTAAATCAAAATTGTGTCAAAAACTTGTTGAAATTGAAATTAAGTGCATTTGTTGTTCTATATTGAAACCATGGGTTTATTATGCATATATTATGATTGAGAAAAGTTTGCTTTACAGGGCTTACATTTCTGTACATATGCTGGTGTGACAATTAAGTTCTCAGAAATTGAGTGAATATTTGAGGATGGTCCAGCAACAAAGTAACAGTCAACATTTACGTTAGATATGAGACACCCTCCATTTAGTTTCAATCAAAATTTGAAATTGCTAGCATGTTTGGCCCATGCTTGTATCTGTGTCATATACCAAAAAAACCTTTGGCAATCCACTGTAATTGCAAGTTGTGTATACTTTTTTTAACACTGATACAGCCGCGCAGGCAGAAGCTTAAATGTCAGGACACCTCAGCTGATATGAAGATCCCAAAGAAACTTTATTAAACCGATTTTTGAAATACCTAAGGGAACTGGGAAAAGCCTCCTCCTGTAGATTGTTCCACAATCTCGACACTCTAGGGACAGAGGAGATATGAATGCATATTGAAAATGTGGATTTCAATGGGGGGCCCTGAATTGACAATATCACTCACTGATCACGTCTAACCAGCGCCTAAGCATTCTTGGTTTGTCTGATTTAAGGAACAAATCATTGGCATTCTGTGACACAAAAATGTGAACATGCATAACATTTTCACAAAGATGATGTTAAAAATTGTCATCCATTTCTCGTTCATTTTGGAAAATATTTTGTCGAAAATGACATCTCAAAATTGCTACAACCATCCTGTAGCCTCGATTTTGCGCTCCGCGACTTTTTTTATTCCCAAGATGTAACTTTAAAGGAATTCATCATATCGCCATAAAGGAGAGCAAAGAAGCTGATGCAACTCTGATGGTGAACAGATTCACTTCTGAGCATTACCAAGGGTGCTCCCAATGTTGATATCATTGCATAGAATAAGAGAGACATTACTGTATAATTTTGTTCAAAACTTATTTACGTATAGATATTTTCATGATTTTTGGCTGGTCACAACAATTAATTTCATCTTTCATACATCCTTCTACTTCACAAACATGTCTTCCTTTATGCATGGACCTTTGGAAGTGTAAACTCAAAGACATACACTTTTTAGTTTTCTCTCACAGCCATGAAACTTTTCTCGCCAAAGTAGAGTCTTTCACACTTATGCTTGTCACTGTCAGTATGACAACTTGTTTGCCATGGACGAGTTACTTGTCTTCACCCATGGTGATCTTCAATACAAAACAGCAGTGCCTGAAGATACAACTACAATATTGACAGCCTGTATCGGAAGCCTTTTCAATAAGTAGTGAAGACGATGGTCTCTATCACCCAATTCATGTGTGTGTGCAAGAGAGCGTACCAGCTGCGTTACTGGCCTGCGCAACGTGCCATTTCCCTTATGAAAGTCAAGCTACGCATTTGATACCATTAGTCAACCTGTTCACTTATTTCATGTAGCACTGTGACGTAACCACTAAAAACCGTGAAAATAACTATGTTTTGTTAAAAATTTCCTGTAATTTAATTGCCACACCATGTATATTGGAACCCGTTAGACTACTTGAATCTCTTTGCGGCTTCATATCTTTTGTGTATCGTGTATCGAATACAACTTTATCCGATAGGACTTTGTCGAGACATTCTATATATGGGGAAACCTAGCAAGAAAAACTTTATATATAAGATCCTTCAGTTTGTATACGAATCTTTCTTCTAAGCCGTCGTGCAAACAAGTTACAAAGAGGCCAATTTATAGATTAAAACGTCTGGCGGGAAGTGTGTGGCAGTGCTGACGATTACTTTGTTTGTTTGTTTAAGATTTATTTAGAATGATTGCTACGATTACATTCTTCTAAAAAACTAAACAATTACATAACATATCAGGGTGACAGGTAAATAGGTGTAAAACATTTTAGGAGGTGATAGTACAGCTCCTTTGCTATCAAAATTAGTATATAATACCATACCCTATATTCAAAGGTTAAAAAGTTATGGAAGATTTAATTTTTTTAAAAAACAACCCAGATTACAGAGTAAAATAGTTGAGATAAAAAAAAGTTGGTGATTAAACATTTTTTTTTTGGTGGTTTCAGGTTATTATTTAAATAAATAATTCTCATAAATTAAAAAACATATGAAAACACTACTGAAAACGTATTTATTTTCATGTTAAATGTTAAATGAAAATTTTTGTTTTCAACTTTCACATTAAGAAGTCTTTTTTTTTCTAAAAAATCATTATAAAGAAAATGTACAAATAACTGCAAAAACTTCCTCGTTTCATTAGGTTTCTAAAATGGTATAATAACATATCAGTAAGTAAACCATTTAACAAAACAATATTACTTTGCTAGAAAGGACCACTAAGGGCATTTCATTGTACTGAGCAGGTAAACCGAGCCTTTCATGGTTCGACCCTTTTTGTTATTTTTCGTGCCCTGTGCCGTTATTCGGGTTTAAGTATTTGGAATCTGTCGTCGCTCCTCGGAAGCAAGCTCTGCGTGTGTTATGAATTGACACAGCTGACGGATCAAGGAAAGGGAACTAACGCTTAGGTTAGTTAGTAGAATATCAACCGGTAGGACGTACTTTTATTTTTTTGATCAGTTTTAATAATGGGGAGTTACCGTAACGAAGAATACGCTGATATTCTGTTTTGTTATGGTTTAAGTGATGGAAATTCCGTTGAAGCCAGGCGAGAATACGAAAACCGTTTTCCGAGTCATCCAGTATTTGCTTCTGTGTACCAACGCGTCAAGGAAAGTGGACAGGTTCATGAGAGACGTCATGATGCTGGTAGACCTCGGTTGTTTCACGACGAAGATCGAGAGGCAATACTGGAATGCTACGGCAGAGACCCGACGACGTCTACACGAGTTATAGAAAAGCAGCTTGGTTTAACTCAGTGGAAAGTTTGGTTCGTTTTGCATTCGGCGAGACTTTACCCTTTCCATTACACACCGGTTCAAGTATTAGAAGAAGGAGATCCCGCAAGAAGAATTGATTTTTGTCGATACATGCTTCATCGGGATCAAGAAGGAAACGACTATTTAACTAAAATATTGTGGACCGACGAGTCTAAGTTTGACAGAGAGGGGACAACAAATTATCACAACTTACATTATTGGGCCCCACGAGAGGCAAATCCCCACATGGCAAAGCCAAGAGCCCATCAAAGAAGATTTTCGGCAAACGTGTGGATGGGAATCATTCATACGTATCTAATTGGACCAGTTTTTTTGCCTGACAACCTGAATGGCGAATCCTATGAAAACTTTTTGAGATCCGAACTCTGGGAGTATCTCGAAGACCTGCCTCCGCTGGACAAGAAATACGAGTATCCTTGTCACTGGATTGGCCGAGGTGGACCGACACCGTGGCCAGCGAGGAGCCCAGATTTAACACCGTGTGACTATTATTAAAGGGGGGCACATGAAGTCACTGGTGTAAGCTGAGCCCATAGACACTCTTGCACAGTTGAAACAAAGAATTATTGCTGCTGCTGACACTATCAGAGGACACCTAACTGGCCGCATCACGCGTACCAACATGAGAAAAAGACTACGGGCTTGCATAAGAAACGGCGGGCGGCAGTTCGAACAACAATTGCAATGAATTTTACCTTCATTTCATTATTGTATTTTACTTACCAATTGTAGTAACTTTTAGTCAGTTTTTATTATTCTGTAGCACAATTACAACTGTGTAAATAATCTAATCGTGTAACTTAACCGTAGTTTAAAATAATAACTATCCCATAGCTTACAGTTACATTATTTTCACAAAAACACTTTCTTATCAATCAGAAAGTTGTGAAAATAGGAGACAAGCCATTGGTAAATTTACTCCCTATTGTTTATTACAATACATTATGTTTAGTTTCACACAGTTTTTGTGCACTTATCATACCAATTTAGATTCCTTATGAAACAAGGATATTATTTAAATTGTTTGTACGTTTTTTTGTATACTGATTTTTTTGTAAAACACCTTACTTACTGTAAAACGTTATTTGTTTTTCTTAGTTAAACATTTTTGAATGAAAATAAATACGTTGTTTGGTATTGTTTTCGAATCTTTTTTAATTTATAATAGTTAATTATTGAAATAATAACCCAAAACCACAAAAAACAAATGTTTAATCGCCAACTTTTTTCCCTCTCGACTTTTTCACTCTGAAATATGGATTGTTTTTAAAAAAATCTTAAACCTTCAATAACTGTTCAACCTTTGAATATAGTTTATGGTATTATATACTAATTTCAATAGCAAAGGGGCTGTACTATCACCTCCTAAAATGTTTTACACCTATTTACCTGTCACCCTGTAGATATTCAGAAAAAAATAATGTTTACAAAGTATAAATAAAAATCATGAGAATGGAAGTAGTCTTATTTCTCCTTAACCTGTCTCGCCAGAAATAAGACAGCGCTAGGCGCCATCTATCTGCCCACCGGCAGCGGATACGCATCATACGTTGAAAATACATATAGCGCTATTCAATGCCTCACGTTTTGTCTTTGAGAAAATATGTAATGCCTGACAGCCCTGGGATCTTTATTACTGCATACTGTGAAATGGAAATTTAAATCACCAATGAAACTTATCCTGTAGTGCTATGTTGAACGATACGTCGTTCAATAAAGGAGAATCTTAAACTATGTGGTTTTGATTGGCCTCACAAACATGTGAGATTGTTTAATCAATCTACAGTGTGTTATTCGTCCAGTATCCAAGGGTTGGCCAACTCTCAACCGGCAGTCGGCCCTGAGAAGGGCCAACTATAAATGTGGACCTCATTTTTTAATTTATTCGCAGATCTGAACGATGATTACATGCCAGACCTATTCCTGACAACAAAAGAAAACTTTGAAATTTGGCATGGCAACGAACACAAGCGGAAGTTTGTCTACAACACTTCCATTCCTTATCCGCCAGGCATGCTAACTGTCGAAAAGGCTGCGGTTATTGGACAATCGTTGTTCATAGATGTTGAACTCACTGGTAGAATGGAGCTCGTAACGCCTGTTTGTTTTGATAAAGAATGCAAGAATAGCGCTTTGATGTTGTATTCTATGGCGGAAAAGAAATGGGTTAACCTCCAGGTACGTTATTTATCTAAGATTGTTACGATGCGGATCCGCAACAGCGAGTATGTTTAGTTAACGACAACTTGAAAGAAAGGAAAAATGGATGCTGGCTGGAGTCGGTTTATTTCATTTGAACGCCGCCAGATGGGGTATCAAGCAGCTTGAAATAAGTAAGGAACAGTGGCGTGCGCAGTATTGAATTTTCCTCTAACAATCGATCCTGAAAGTTTGTTGGCAGCTGGTGCTGTAGTCCAATTGGTTTGGTCCTCCACAGAATGGAGGAGATGCGGGTTCGAATCCCGCCGACGCCCATTTATCTTTCTCTAAAGTTGTTGTGTACAGTTTATTTTTCTGAGATCCTAATGTTGATCACCGTTGAAACACCGGGTAAACGAATGTGCAAGATTTAAATTATTTTCCAGGTGAACTTCAAAGATGACAATACTAACCTATGGAAGTTTTATCTCAAACCTGGAAGCCGTTACACCAACGTTATCACTTTACACAGTGGCGACTTCAATATGGACGGATATCCTGATATATTGGCAACATTGTCACAAGCCAATGATGCTGGACATCCTCAGAGCTTTTTATTGGAAAATATTCCGTGTCAAAGTTCGTGTGGAAAGTTTAAGAGAACGTATGCTATCAAGTGGAATGCTCTTAGTCCGTTTAAAAATGGTAATTATTTTTTTTTCATGTCACGAGGTACTAGAAAAGAAATACAGCAGACGCTCGATAACGTAAACACAGGATAATGAAAACTTGCGCTAATGTAAACATAAACTTCGTTCTATAGGATCAAACGGAACGCGCGATAACGTAAACAATGTGTACGCTCGATAACGTAAACAACTCTCGGCGCACGGAAACAGCGCGACGGTAAAATGCTGAAGCCTCGATGATTTATGTCGGGCGTCGGGGAGTCCCCGATTTATGATGTAGAGTGTAGGGGATTCACCTCTGCGATAAAATACGACAAACTCGGTCAGTCGTATGATCGTTTAGGATACGTTTATACGTACGTATGTATTTCATTTTTGAACTTAAGTGAATACATTGCACGCGTTAATATATTTTACGATTATGGCATCCACATCCTATAAAAGAAAGTGTTTAAAGTTGAGTGAGAAAGTGAAAATCCTAGACGAAGTTGCACTAGGTGCGGAAGTGACACAGTTAGCAAAAAAATAAGCGTATGAAAACTCAAATTTTACAAAGAACGTGCAATACATTTGGAGGTCCGGGAAAAAGAAAAACTTTAAAAAATGCGAAGGCACCTAAAATGGAAAATTCCCTGTATAAGTGGTTTTTAAAACAACGGGAAAATCATGTCCCAGTTAGTGGCGAAGACTGTTAAATGAAAAACTGAAAGAAACTGAAAATTTCGTAGCTAGTGATGGCTGGCTACAACGATTTAAAACAAGACATGGAATTCGACTGCTGTCTATATCTGGTGAAAAATTATCAGCACAACCACAATTAGTGCAACCATTCAAAGAAAAATTGATGAAAACAATTACCGAGCTAGATTTAAGAATGGAACAAATTTACAACGCAGATGAAAGTGGCCTTTATTGGAAAATGTTACCAGAGAAAACCTATGCTGCATCATTTGAAAAATCTGCCCCGGGAAGAAAGCTGGAGAAACAACGAATAACGTTTCTAGCCTGCACTAATGCTAATGGTTCACACAAAATAAAGCCACTGGTAATTGGGAAAGCAAAAAATCCTTGCTCATTTAAAAATGTTAATATCCCTGTTGATTATGACTGTTCAAAAACCGCTTGGATGACTAGCAGTATATTCCTGAAATGGTTCCACAGGTGCTTTGTCCCTCAGGTATGACAATCAATTATCACAAATGCTCTATTCATAATTTGAAGATGTGTTTTCAATGTGTAGGTAAAAGGTTTCCTAAAACAACAGAAGCTTCCAATAAAAGCGTTGGTACTATTGGATAATGCACCAAGTCATCCTCTCGAGCAACAACTGAGGAGCAGGGATGGGTCAATTTTCGTCATGTACATGCCGCCCAACGTAACACCGTTAATTCAACCGATGGACCAGAATATAATAAGACTCACCAAACTATACTATAGGAAGTTTCTACTTTCGTCTGTCTTATCAAAGAATCCTGAAAACTTATCTGAGGCTTTAAAAAAAGTAACATTACGAGAAGCTGTTTTAGATTTACATATGGCCTGGAATGAACTTAACCAGCAAACTATTCAAAAACGTTGGAACAATCTCTTTTGTACCAATAATGAAGATGATGAAGAAGACGATGTCCCCTTAAGCGTAATTAGAGAACGTTTGCGATCCAATAATGATAATGTTATTAGTGTGTCATTGGATGTTGTTGATTTATTGAAAACAGTGAATCCCAACATTGTTTGTACTCCTGCTGATATTAATTTATGGAACGAAGATAAGCAGACGAATGATGCTGATAAGGAGGAGGATATGGACAGTGAGGATGATGAGAACGATCCCATTGAAATCAGAAGTGTAGTGACTGACGCGCAAGCTATACAAGTTTTTAACCAAGCTTTAGATTGGGCTGAAAGAAAAGAAGTTTCATACACGGATATTTTAGTTCTTCGTAAATTACGGGCGCAGGCATTGGAAGACAATGCTAAGCGCAAATTTACGCAGACAAAAATTGTTAATTATTTTTCTTCTAATTAAAAAAATACTTATCGCTGTTAGAATATTTGTTTATTTTGTTATAAATAGTATGTATTAAAGGTTTCTTTTAATAAATCAAATATTATATAAATCACTTTCGCTAATGTAAACATTTCGATAATGTGAACTACACTTGGATTAAATTAGTTTACATTATCGAGCGTCTGCTGTATAACCAAACCATGACACAAAAGACGTACGACTTTTTTTATATTTTTTTCACAATACCTTCTTCATCACTGCGCTTGCGTTATTTCTCCTTCAGTGAACTTAATTCACAATTCTTGAGAGAATAAATGCATATTCTCTGAAGAATTGTTTTCAGCTGATGACCCTCTTTTGTCAGAAATTTTAATCTAACTTTAATGCAATTATAAATAAAGATTTGCCTAATGTCCATCATTCTAGATTTTTGCTGTGAATAATTTTTAATGAATATTTTTGAGCAATCTCCAAGTTCTTTATGTACAGGGTTGTTCCGTTTTAAACATTTTGTTTTGATCAATTGTTTTAAACATTCGCTTAGGTTTAAAACAGTTTTTGTTTAAAATATGTTTAAAACACTTAAATTAAACAAGCGTTTTTTTCTTCATTATATAATAAATATATAATAAATGAAAATAGGAAATGTTCTCAAATACATTATAGAAACTTTTTAACCTAAATATTATTTATTTATTAATAATAGAAACACAAGAAAAATCGGAAAACATGAACATTTTGCATACAAGTGTTAACAAATTCCCCACACTCTTTCAGTCTCATAGGCATCTAAGTCATCAATCTGATATCTGATCAGTCACATCACCACTGATGGAATTAAGCTGTTTAAAAATTGATACCAACTTAGCAGCTTTGACATTGCTTAGCCGATTATGTTTTATGTATGTTGGCTGTCGAAGCAAGTGCTGTTGTATTTATATTTTTCATAGAACGCCATCATGGTTTTATATTCTCAATTAGATGTTTAGAAAACATATATGGTTAAAGGGCACACACTTTGCCTGGTAACCAGTAATGCCTGTTTCTATTTACTCGTGACTAAGTTTATTGCCTCTAAAGCGATGATCAAGCAAATTTGCCAAAAAATGAGCTGAGGTCAAAGCCATTTTCATACGCTCCTTGACTTTATTCCTGTCACTTATCGAAAATTCTCCATTTACTTGTTCAGTCTCGAATGCTTCTAAAAATTCTAGCCATATCTCTGTAGCCTCTCCTATGGTGCAAGTGTTTCTTTGGACTTTGTCCAAAGCAAATGCGACATACTTTAATTTTTTTAAATAGTCTTGGGTATTTTTCTTTAGATTGGTGAAACATTAAAATTCTTGTACTATCCGGGTAAGCATTCTTTGAATATTTTTGAGTTTTGGATATCTCATCTAGCGTTAAATCCTCATATGACTCGGAATCATAGATAATTGACATTGGTAGCTGAGAATTTTCAGATGGAACACATTTTTGATTGCATATGTTTCATTTATATGTTTACATTTTTTACATTTAGCAGTCACTGATTTTTTGTTATTATCTTTAACAACATCAAAATAGGACCAAATGGCATGTTTCTTCCTTCCTGTAGACGACATTTTTCAAAAAAAGAACACCACAAAATAACTTACAGTTGTAGGATACGAACCGTAATATGATAATAGCAATATAACGATAAACGTGAAAACATCTCATCTTAGAAGATTCCGAAGTACCGCCCCGTACCATTTCATTTTTACTACATGGGCAGTACGTAAACAATTCGATATGGGCAACAATGTCAGGGTAATATTAATGTCACTTACTTGGTGACGAAACGACAACGAGTTATCCTCCTTTGGCAAGCGATAAGGGCGATATGATCGCATTGTCGGGGCCATCGCCTATTTTTAGAAAAAGACTGACTCATGACATCAGATGCACAAATCTACTATTTACCATTACATTAATGTACCCCAACTACTACTACGGATTCGTCATCGACTGAATCACGGGATCGTCACACAGACTGATCATTAAGTCGTCACACAGACTAACTCGGAGTTGTCACCCAGACAAACTCTAACTCTTTGGTCGCTAGGTGTATGGTCAGACGTGCCGAGTTTAACGATTGTTACAAAAAGACAGCCCAGGAACCGGGATATCACGCTGGCCAAGCGCCGTTGTGTCAGTACCCCAAAGCTGCGACGTTACCCTTGAATCAGAGGTAACCGAGAAATATGACTATCATTAAAGTAACAATCCCTTCACACATCCTGCCATGAGATACATTCAGACTCCAGCGATTGCCAAGAGAAGATAGTTAAGCGGTCATTCAGACCTAGGACGCCACTTCGGCCAAAGGCCACCGTGTCAACATCCAAAGCGCTCCGACTTTCCGCTGGTAGAGGAAACTGAGCCGTAAGTAACATAACTACCTCAACCCAGCAAACGGGCTCCGAAAGTCCCATAACAACCCCCAGAACCTGGAGGCGTCCCACCTGCGGATATTCAATAACAAGTCGTAAGCCGTAAGTTAAATTATGAAGGTAAAAAGTATACCATCTTTATAAACATGGCTTGACACATTCATGATCATGAATATAAAAGTATTATGGTTATCAATCCATGCAGTACAGTAGAATAAAGGAAACACTCGGTGATTGCTCACCTTTCAGGTAAACAAAACACTACACCCAATAGCACATCAACACTGTAACCAAGTTCACAAAGCGCACTACTTGGTCTGAGAAGCGATCTCCTCCACGCAATAATTGAACTGCATCGCCATCCACGCCCGTATCTTTAAGAAAGTTTATCCTGGGAACAAGTACCCAGAGAAGGAACGGAATGTATAATGTAAACAGCCGTAAGGGTCGTAGCGCTGAGTGACACTAAGCAGCCTTGTGAACCTACTGGAAGGGTTTTATGTGCTACAGGGTTGGACTCGCATGCAAAAATGTGTTTGAGATATTTCGTAAGCTTACACACTAGACGTTATTGCAATAGCCAACTTGCAAGGCAAATTTATAAATAGGAGTCCCTGGTTCCCCCAGGCCAATAGTTCCTCATTGCAATTGGTTTTTGATATTTCGGGGATTCACCGGCACAGCCTAACGGCGGCGCGGCGCGACGTAGTTCGTAACAGCTGATCGCGACAGTTTAGTACAGAGTCGGACTTTAAATAAGGTATCTATCATTTAGTAGAACAATAGGTCGAACATTTTCAATTAATATCATGAAAAAATATGATTTAAACAATGTTTTATTTGTTTAAAACAAAATTTAAAAACAAAAAAAACATGTTTGAATAAAATAAACGTTTATAACAAAAAAAAAAACGTGTTTTGTATAACAAAAAGATACATGTTTTTTTCAACCCTGTTTATGTAGATCAGAGTTCCCCAAACTTTTTTGTGTCGTAGACCCCTTGCCATGTTTTTCCGTGTTGGGTAGACCCCCTACTACCTGATATTGATTTCCTGTAAATTTCTAACTGTAGTGAAGTTTTGTGTTAAAAACTTAAAGTAAAAACACATGTTAATTTATACATTTATTAATTGAATTTAAATTAAAACTACTCAAAATAAAATTTTGTATCTGTTATGTAAAATATACGTAACATTAAATAAACAGGTGTCTGACCAATAAGTGCCCGCAATGGGAATAAGTGCCTGCAGTGAAAAAATATAAGAGGGATAAAATAAACAAAAAATGAAAAATAATAAAAAAAAAGTTTTTTACTTAAAATAGTACAATAAGTGAGTTCGTTTATTAATTATAACATAAACGTATGTTCTACAATAATTTCACTGTTAGTTTGATTAAATTCCGCTTCTTATACGTTTAAGTTATCTAAAAATAGGCAAAAAATTAACGAATTTTAGTGTGTACCTATCCTTGAATTTTCAGAATAATTAAAAAAAAAATATTTTCTATAAAGGGGGGTTCTTTAAAAAAATCAATGCGGGCACTTATTCCCAACGCGGGCATTTATTGGTCAGACACCAATAAACATAAAATAAACTATAAATAAAATAACATAAGCAATAAGTCAATATTTTTAGTGAGAAGGATGAACCTGATGCTTTAATAATAAATTATCAACATTTGGCGTCAATTTTGTAAGGTTAATCTTAAATCTCCTCGGCTAATGATGTCCAGTCTGTTTCTTTTTTTTTTCATTAGGAGATTGGTAACAGCGCTGAACCCCCTTTCCACTAGGTATGACGATGGAAAGGAAATTAAAAATTTCCTCGCTATATTCCATAATACGGGATAAGTGACGGGTATGTTGTTTTGCAGCCAGAATTGCTGATATCCGTTTTTAAACTGAACCTTAAGTTCTTCGTTTGTACTTAGTTCAGTCAGTTCCTCTTGTATTATGACATTCGTTTCTTTTATGTCACCATATGGATTAATTATCCACGGTTGTATTACCATAGTCAAAATATCCTCAAACCTAGATTCAAAATCTGAATAGAGGGCATTTAAATGCTGAACGTAAGTTGAAACGTCGTCTTCCTGGCAGCTTGTCTGTGACAAATTGGGGAACTGAGAAAATTCCCGTCCAATATTTTGCTTCATTAGTTTAACTCTGGCAAGAAACGCTGATAAGATGGACTTTGTTTTAATCAAATTTAAACTGTCGCCTTGTAATTCGACAGCCAGCGTACTTTAGTGTGAAGGAGTAATTGATGAAAGTGTTCGTCATTTTCTTCATACAACTGCGCAAATAACCGCGTATTCAACGCGTTGCTTCTGATTCGGTTTACTGAATCAATGACTAAATGAAGTGATTCAGGCAATCTAACACTCAAATTTTTAGCAACTAAATGTTGTCGATGGATGACGCAATGTATTGCTAACATCCCTGACACATTTTGTTTTAAATAGCTTATAAATCCACGATAACGTCCAACCATGGCAGGTGCTCCAGCTGTAGCTACTGATATTATATTTGATAAAGGAATTGCTTTTTCAATGAAGTAATCCTTCAAAACATGAAATATTGATTCACCTTTAGTGTCGGTTATCAAAGTTCTTGCGAAGAGCAGTTCTTCGTAGATTTCTTGATTCATAATAAAACGAACATATGCCAATAATAATGCTGCATTATCAGGTAAAGTTGACTTGTCCAGTTGTATAGAGAAATGGGTCGTTTGCAAATAATTACATAAGAAGCTTTCAATATCAGAACTCTTTTCATCAATACGTCTTTCAACAGTATTGTTGCTTAAGGGAATTATTTTAATGATATCAGATGCAGGTTTGTATAAAACAAAACTAACTTCTCTCCGATAGTATGCGGTTTTCCGGATTTTGCTATAAGTAACGAGATATTGTAAGAAGCCCGCAAACCATCATCATTTCTTTGTGACGTCGAAGCGAACATTCTGTCCAGTGTAGGTCCCTTCTGGAATTTATCTTTGACTGTTTGAAAGTATTTCAAATCTTTCTCTGTTTTATCAGGGTGGCATCTTCTCAGACGATCTTGCAGTTTAGATGGTTTCATAGCGTCATTGCCCAAAACTTTGTTGCATAAAAGGCACATAGGCGATTGTTTGTCCGGCAATGATGGAATGAAGCCAAATTTCAAATAATCAACACTGTACTGTGTACATTTCTTTTTAGATTCGGACATGGCATCAGTCATCTGTGGGCAAAATTAAATTATTTAAATAAGACAGAAAATCCAGCAGCTGTATATTAAAAATATTTTTTGATTTTTCCGAAAACATTCCATAATTCGAACATCTTCTTGCAACAATTAGCTCGAATTACGGAGATTGCACTGTAATTATATTACCGATTGCTAAAACTTTCAAAAAGAAACTATTGAGGAGTACTCGTGTAATTTTGCATAATTGAATATTTAACTACTAATAACTAAAGTCATGATTGGCGTAATTTATCTATCTTTACTAACTACGAGTACAAAACTAAAATTTAATAAAAAATAATGTACTTACTTTTCTCCAGCACTCTCAAACAAAATAACACTGACTACTATCTGTTTATATTTTTTAAAATATTTTCTTAGCACTTTCCTTTTCAAGATACAGGAAACGAATAAACGTATTTGTCCCACATTCGTATTTATAGAGTGATGAATTGAACAAGTCAGTGCAAGGTAGCGAAGCTCCGAGACTGCGACTCTCAGGTTCAAAATGTATTGCGACCACAAAGCGAATACCAACATCCTACAACTTACATAATTTTATAAACATATATAATAAATTTTTTACTTCATAGGTACTTTTATAAATAATGTATATGTTTTGATATTATAAGATAGTATGATGTAAGTAAATAGGTACTATCAGTGTATGTGTTGAGATCCACTATCGTGGACCCCCGTATTCATTTCATGGACCCCCAAATTTTTTTTCGCTGACGTAGACCCCTTGCAGGTTGTCATAGACCCATAGGGGTCGATATAGACCACTTTGGGAATCAATGATGTAGATGAAAGCAGCTCCTCCTAAGCCGTTGAAGTATATTGCGTTTTTTCCTTCTCTTATTTTCGGTCCTTCTGAATGGCAGGTACAGCAATGGCTGCATTCTTCGACTTCTACCAAGACGGCATCCTGGATTGCATTATGGTGACATACAACGGGAAAGATTATCGAGCGGCAGCGTTCAAAAACAGCTTGGATTACGACGCTAACTTCATCAAAGTTATGGTGCTGACAGGACTGACCAATCAGAACAATGATATGATCAATGGCCGCGTAGGGAAAAAGAGGAGAACGTATGGAACAAATCTGCCGGGCCCGTCGATTTCCTACAAGACCACCACGCAAGACGGCGATATAAGGCACGGGGTGTCAGCGCAGTTGCCGCAGAGCGCGCACTTCAGCTTGAATTTGCCTTATACTATCTTCGGATTGGGTATGTATTCAAAATTACACAAATCTCCATAACACTATTTTTCTACCACTGTTCGGCAAATTGTGTCTTTTAATGGTATCACAAGTAGCGCCACAAAAATAGTTTATGTTTATTTGAGGTTCAAAACGGTTTTATTGTGTAAATAAAAATATTATGGTTTCAAAGTTGCATACCTTATATACAGGGTGACAGGTAAATAGGTGTAAAACATTTTAGGAGATGATAGTACAGCCGCTTTGCTATCGAAATTAGTATATAATACCATACCCTATATTCAAAGGTTGAAAAGTTAAAAGATTTTTTTAAAAACAATCCATATTTCAGAGTAAAAAAGTCGAGAGGGAAAAAAGTTGGCGATTAAACATTTGTTTTTGGTGGTTTTGGGTTATTATTTCAATAATTAACTATTATAAATTAAAAAAGATTCGAAAACAATACCAAACAACGTATTTATTTTCATTCAAAAATGTTTAACTAAGAAAAACAAATAACGTTTTACAGTAAGTAAGGTGTTTTACAAAAAAATCAGTATACAAAAAAACGTAAAAACAATTTAAATAATATCCTTGTTTCATAAGGAATCTAAATTGGTATGATAAGTGCACAAAAACTGTGTGAAACTAAACATAATGTATTGTAATAAACAATAGGGAGTAAATTTACCAATGGCTTGTCTCCTATTTTCACAACTTTCTGATTGATAAGAAAGTGTTTTTGTGAAAATAATGTAACTGTAAGCTATGGGATAGTTATTATTTTAAACTATGGTTAAGTTACACGATTAGATTATTTACACAGTTGTAATTGTACTAGAGAATAATAAAAACTGACTAAAAGTTACTACAATTGGTAAGTAAAATACGATAATGAAATGAAGGTAAAATTCATTGCAATTGTTGTTCGAACTGACGCCCGCCGTTTCTTATGCAAGCCCGTAGTCTTTTTCTCATGTTGGTACGCGTGATGCAGCCAGTTAGTTGTCCTCTGATAGTGTCAGCAGCAGCAATAATTCTTTCTTTCAACTGTGCAAGAGTGTCTATGGGCTCAGCGTACACCAGTGACTTCGTGTGCCCCCATAAATAATAGTCACACGGTGTTAAATCTGTGCTCCTCGCTGGCCACGGTGTCGGTCCAACTCGGCCAATCCAGCGACAAGGATATTTCTCGTCCAGTCACTGTCTAACACCCAGACGGAAATGCGCGGGACAGCCATCGTGTTGGTAGATCATCTGCATCCTGATATTCAGAGGCAGGTCTTCGAGATACTCCCAGAGTTCGGATCTCAAAAAGTTTTCATAGGATTCGCCATTCAGGTTGTCAGGCAAAAAAACTGGTCCAATTAGATACGTATGAATGATTTCCATCCACACGTTTGCCGAAAATCATCTTTGATGGGCTCTTGGCTTTGCCATGTGGGGATTTGCCTCTCGTGGGGCCCAATAATGTAAGTTGTGATAATTTGTTGTCCCCTCTCTGTCAAACTTAGACTCGTCGGTCCACAATATTTTAGTTAAATAGTCGTTTTCTTCTTGATCCCGATGAAGCATGTATCGACAAAAATCAATTCTTCTTGCGGGATCTCCTTGAACCGGTGTGTAGTGGAAAGGGTAAAGTCTCGCCGAATGCAAAATGAACCAAACTTTCCACTGAGTTAAACCAAGCTGCTTTGCTATAACTCGTGTAGACGTCGTCGGGTCTCTGCCGTATTGCCTCTCGATCTTCGTCGTCAAACAACCGAGGTCTACCAGCATCATGACGTCTCTCATGAACCTGTCCACTTTCCTTGACGCGTTGGTACACAGAAGCAAATACTCGATGACTCGGTATTCGCCGATTCGGAAAACGGTTTTCGTATTCTCGCCTGGCTTCAACGGAATTTTCATCACTTGAACCATAACAAAACAGAATATCAGCGTATTCTTCGTTACGGTAACTCTCCATTATTAAAACTGATCAAAAAAGTAAAAGTACGTCCTACCGCGTTAAAGGTTGATATTCTACTAACTAACCTAAGCGTTAGTTCCCTTTCCTTGATCCGTCAGCTGTGTCAATTCATAACACACGAAGGAGCGACGACAGATTCCGAATACTTAAACCCGAATAACGGCATAGGGCACAAAAAATAACAAAAAGGGTCGAACCATGAAAGGCTCGGTTTACCTGCTGAAATGCGCTTAGCGGTCCTTTCTAGCAAAGTAATATTGTTTTGTTAAATGGTTTACTTACTGATATGTTATACCATTTTAGAAACCTAATGAAACGATGAAGTTTTTGCAGTTATTTGTACATTTTCTTTATTATGATTTTTTTGAAAAAAATGACTTCTTAATGTGAAAGTTGAAAATAAAAATTTTCATTTAACATTTAAATGAAAATAAATACGTTTTCAGTAGTGTTTTCATATGTTTTTTAATTTATGAGAATTATTTATTTAAATAATAACCTGAAACCACCAAAAAAAGAATGTTTAATCACCAACTTTTTTTATCTCAACTATTTTACTCTGTAATCTGGGTTGTTTTTTAAAAAAAATTAAATCTTCCATAACTGTTTAACCTTTGAATATTATATACTAATTTTGATAGCAAAGGAGCTGTACTATCACCTCCTAAAATGTTTTACACCTATTTACCTGTCACCCTGTATAGATATAATGCCAGAGCTTAAAAACTTCTTAATAATAATAATAATAATAATGAGTCTTTATTAAGGAATACAATACATATTTATATAGTGCTCCTTCAAAGGCGGAGTCTAGAAAATATCTACCCTACTTATCCTTTCGGATAATTTATTAAAATAAAAAATTGAATGAAAAAACAGGCTAAGCGAGTAAGACATTAGAGCGATTTTAGATAACAAAAACTGTACATGGCTTTTTTTATATACTCCAACCACCACGAAGGCCTAAGGCCTAAAACCCATTGGGTACCGGGGGGCTATAGGGGATACAGGGGAAAGGGGGAACGCCACACGGACTCTGGCGAAGGAACACGTGTGCATACAACATGCACACATTCTGGCTCCGCCTACGAGATCCGCCGGGTGGTACCTCCGCGTTCGACAGTCAGAGACCATCTACCACCTGGGACGGAATTGAACCCGCACAGCGCACGGCGACTGATTAGGAGACCGAAGAGTCTACTACTGCGGCCACCGCTGCTGCCTGTTTTTTTTTTAATTAACAACGCAACAATTAACACAATTAAGCCCATACTGAATAAAAAAAAAGAAAGATCAAGGTAAAACCAAAAATTCCCACTGTTATCCGGGGCAACATTCATAACCAAGTAACCTCTTTTTCACACTCCTCTTAAAGTTAGCTATAGAAAGCGCTTTGAGGTTATTAGATACGCCATTGTACATTTTGAATGAATTATATATAAATGACCGACGGAATAGCGTCGTATTGTATAATGGAATTTGAAGTCGTTTTTTAAATCTAACATTGATGTCTTCATGTCTTCCTCCAAACAATAATTTCCTATATAAGTAAGGAGGAGACTGCGAAGTTATTATTTTATGTATCATAGTAGCAACTGAGTATCTATACATATCGTCTATTTTAGCTCAATTATTTTTCCCGACGTTGAATCATATTTGTTAAGATTGTAGATAAATCTGCATCAGCTATTTTGAAACTCTTGTAATCTATTTTTCGATGCGGTATCCAGACATGGATAGTAAATATTACTGCAATAAGCAATAATAGGGAATATAAGAGATTCACATAATTTTTTCCGTGTTTTAAAATTCATAATATGCTTATGGCAGTAAACTCGTTTCAAAATGAGTTTTTTAATGTAACGGATAGGTGTGCATTGAAGCGCAGGGAGCTATCAAACGATAACCCTAAATTTTTAGCTGAATCTACTAATGGCAATGAAACTCCACCAATTTTTATATCAAGTTCCGGCAGTAAATTATCACGACTATTGTTTAAACAAAAAAGCATAACAGAAGACTTAGAAAAATTTAATTTCAATTTATTGTTTTTGGAGAAATTCAGTATTCCATTGAGATCACTATTAATATCTTTAACTGCTTGAGAGACATTGGATAGAACCAAAGCTTTCAGCAACAATTGACGAGTGGGAAACAAGAAGATGGATGTCTGACGTGTACACCAGAAAAAGGATAGGTCCAAGAACGGAACCTTGCGGCACGCCGGAAGTAATAAAAGATTGGTCAGAAAATTTGTGATCTACAGATACTATTTGCTGGCGTCCTGAAAGATGTTTGGAAAAACTGTAAAGACAAACCGGTAAAACCGTAATATGATAGCTTTGCACAAACGAGCTCATGATCTATGGTGTCAAATGCCGTAGAAAAATCCAGCAGTATGAGTGTCGAGGCATTTCCGTTATCATATTGCTTGATAATATCATCTGACACTTGCTCCAATGCGGTCACCGTACTATAACCCTCCCGAAATCCGGACTGGTACTCAGAAAGAATATTATTAGCTACGAGATATTCCACATTTGATATTTGACTATTTTCTCTAAAAGTTTTGCTAAAACCGGAATTAGTGTGATAGGACGCAGATTAGAAAAGTTTTCGATTGTTTTACTTTTGGGCAAAGGTTTGATCATAGAAATCTTCCAAGCATTGGGGAAGCAGGCAACCTCCAAGCAGCAGTTTATCAAATGGATGAGCGGAAGCAAAATCGTCGGAAGGCAGTGTTTCAGCATACTCGCTGAAACACCGTCAATACCAGCTGCATTTAAACGTAGAGACATAACTGTATCAAAGACAACATGCTCGCTAACAGGTATAAATTGAAATGATATATTTTCATTGAATTTTAAGTGTCAAATAGAATCAACTGTATCAGGGCAATTATTTGGAAAAGAGTTTCTCGGATACCCGACCTATTGACTGAAGAGCAGAAACCAGCCAGGGTTAATTGGTGTCAAAAAATGCTTGACCGTTTCAATTTCGGACACTCAAAAAATGTGTACAGCATTGTTAGTGGTGATGAATCGTGGATTTACTGTTATGAACCAGAAAATAAACGACAGTCGGCTGTTTGGGTGTTCCAAGGTGAAGAAAAGCCAACAAAAGTCATCTGATCTCGAAGTGTTTCGAATAAGATGGTCGCGACATTTTTGTCAAAAGCGGTTCATATTGCAACAATTCCTGTTAATGAGCAAAGAACTGTTACTGCGGATTAGTATACCACCATTTGTTTGCTAAAAGTCATCACCGAGCTTCGAAAAATCAACCCCGAAAGAAGAATCATCCTCCACCAAGACAATGCAAGCTCGCACACAGCCCAAAAAACAAGGCAGTATTTAACGGAAGAAAACGTGGAATTATTGGACCGTCCTCCATATAGTCCTGATCTAAGTTCTAACGATTTCTTTACTTTCCCGAAAATTAAAAACAGACTGCGTGGTCAAAAGTTCCAGTCACCAGAAGAAGCAGTTGACGCATTCAAAAATGCCGTTTTGGATCGGCCAGCAAACGAGTGGAATAAGTGCTTCAAAAATTGGTTCCATATGCAAAACTTAAAAGACATCTCTCGTATAATATATAATCCTCGTGAAAAATGGCCAGAATCGTCTCTCGGTTGATGTTCAGCGCCTATTTCATCATTTTCAGTGAAGGGTTGCGATCATTTCCAACAAAATCGCGTACTTAATCAATAATTTCTGGAATTCGAATTAAAATTGACCTTCCCGTATGTTCGTCATCTTCTAGCGATTCTCTACCATTTAAAAATCGTTTGTGCCACACGAAAACATTTGATCGACTTAAGCGTCGCCACATACTTGCTGCATCAACCGGAATGTTTCTGATGCACTTTTACCAAGCTTTGCGTTGAATTTAATGACCGCTCTTTGAAACCGCTGATGAAATTTCAACATTGATCCGTTGGAAAGAAGAACATTGTACCTTTGTAATGCAACTGAATTTTTACAGATGGCGCCAGCCGTTGCTGAGATAAGACGCCAGTCTTAAAAACTATTTGTCACACTGTGCATTTTCCATTCCATTCAACCACGAATTTCTTTCCAGGTCGCACGCCCAACTTCGTAGACCAACTTACCATCGGTCTGTCCAACCAATCGCGCATTTGGCCTCAGATCATCCCCAATTCGCAGATGGTGGTGATCCCGTGGCCACCGAACGACCCCTCGCGGTGGAAGGCGCAACTGTTCGTCACGCCCAGCAAACTGATCCTGATGTCGGTGGCCGCGTTGACAACCATATGCGGGATCATCACTGTGATCATCGGCGCGCTCTATTGGAAGGAAAGGCAGGAGGATAAGAAGGAGAGATTGTCGGAGTCGCATCGGTTTTGTAGATTGTGATTTAGAGGGTAGAATATTGCGGTTTTTGTGATGCGCAACTAAAGCCCAGTTTTTCGGGTCAAACTCTTACCTAGAAGTTAACTCGCAATGGAGGCAGTTCGCCTGAAGACAGTGAAAAAAAGGTAAGATTTTGAAATTTGTTCATATTGGGCCTGTAGGTGTGAAAAAGAAAACACATATTTTTTTTTTTGGTGCCACGTTCATTTGCTAAGTTACCGGCTTCGAAATTGGGATTGTTTCGAAGAATTTTTTTGAATTGGACAGTAATATATTGGGATATGAAACATTGCGTTTTATGTAGGAAAGTTTTTGTACTTTTTTATAAAACACCGAATTTGAAATTGAAAAAACTTGCTAAACCGGAAGTAAACATTTCAAACCAAAATCTGGGCGACTTCGCATTTTTTCATTTTAGATTTTTTTACTCCAAAATATAGCCTAAAGTGTGTTTAAAATACATCAGAAGTTTTGAAATGGTGTGCGCATTGATTAAGGAGGTACGCATTTTTATGTGCATATATGTCGCCGTGGGTACGATGTTACGAGGTTCTTTAGATTTACTGGTACTTTTCAGCTCTAATAATAATGTCAAATTTATATTAACGTAAATTATTCTAACATAGAGGTATAGTTTACTTTTATACCATTGTCTTAAATATCGAAATTTGAAAAAAAAAGTATGGTGCAAAACCGGAAGTAAATGCTTCTAGTCATAATTAGGGTAAGTTCTACTTTTTACTCCAATATAGCCTAAAATGTGTTTAAAATGTACTAGAAGTTTTAGAATTAACAAATAATAATAATTATTTTTACTGGTCTACGTACAAAGTTTTCATATAAATAATGTGTCCAGTAAACATAATATACCCAAAAAAGTGAAGACTTGTGCTTGGGTTTCAACCAAACTTGAATTATATTAATACAGCAAATTTCATATAAGTATAGTAGTCAAACATATACATAAATTTTGCATCAATTTATTATCAATAACATATTGGTTGGTCTACAAACTTATGGATTTGAAGCCTCGGGTGATTTAGGATCCATAACTTGCGTTCAATTTTTAAACATTTTTCATTATTTATTATAAAATTTTGAGCATAGAAGGTAGACTGATCTTTGGCTGATAGTTTTATTTAGGTCTAGGAATTAGTGCAGATGTTTCCTTGAATCACGTTTGATGGTTGTGGCTGATAGTATGTAACACTTTTAGATTTTTTGTTATGATATTATCGTATGATAAAAATGAGTTTTCCGGCAGTCGAAAAGCTGAGATTCACTGTAAAGTTTTCTGTAGGATAACATTTCTTTTTGTTCAAAATCCACTTCTGGGTAATTTCAATTTTTTATAATAATTATTCGTGAGCCCCCGCCCCCCTATGAAAAGATTCCATAAGATAGTAAGGATTGAACAAGGACATGATATATCATAGGTATATTTAGGTATCTTCAGTTTCTTATTAAATTTTCAACGTGTATATTCCATCTTAGATAGTTATCTATGATTACCCCTAAATATTTGAATTATCAACCGGTGCAACTATTCAACGTTTTAATTTGGAGTTGATTGAAATGTGGGGAAGATCTGTTGTCGCAAGAAAATGTAAAGTATGTTTTGTTAAAATCCTTTCCTTGAAAAAAGTTGTAACCTTTTGAAAATCTAATACAACTTTGTTTTTTAAAGAAGCCCAATCTTTGTCTGAGTAAATAATTGCCGTGTTGTCTGGGAAACCAATAATTTCTCCATCGTTTTTTAACTTTAAATCGGGTTAGAAGCTAGGAAGCATTTACTTCCTGTTTTGCACACTAGTTTCATTCAAATTTCGATATTCAAGAAAATCGTATAAAAACAAGCTATAATCTCAGACTAAAATATATTTAAAATGATTATTAGACCTGAAAAATACTCATATTATGTCACACAAACCAGTCGACTTAAGCAGGTGCTTAATCATTTCCAGGACGACATGTATACACATAAAAATACGTAGCTCCTAAATCAATGCGCATACAATTTCAAAGTTTCTGATTTCTCATAAACACACTTTAGGCTATATTTTGGAGTAAAAAAGTCGAAAATATAAAAATGCGAAGTTGCCCAAATTTTGGTTTGAAATGTTTACTCTCATTTAACACCTCAAGTTCTTTTTTTATTTTCAAATTAGGTTTTTCTGTCAAAAAGTACAGACAATTTATTATATAAAACGGTATATTTCATATCCCAACATATTGCTTTTCAAAAATTTTTCCGAAAAAATCACAATTTCAAATACGGCTTCCCCAACGAAAAAAAAATAATGATTTGTCTTTCATACCTACTAGATGTACAAACACACACACATTTTAAAACCTCACTTTTTTCGCTGTCCACTTCACGTGAAATGCCCCAGTGGTCCGTTAATTCGTTTTCAAGTTCCGACTAATTAAACTATAGTTATTGGGATGGCAACCCTGCTTCTCTCAAATACCGTCTCTTCTGCATTTTAATATGCTCGGCTTGTATGTCATCTGTTGCAGAATAGGTGGTTAAACGCTGCTGTCTAGTGTAACTTCTGAAACTTATCCTGCGGTTTTCATGTTGATAATCCCCCATATATCTCTGGCCAATAGAAACCACATGTAATTTATTGTAAATGTTTAGGTCACAACGGTTCATTTTCAAGTTCCTATACATTCCAAATTTTAAGATGGGTCCACATAAACACAGTCCTCTGAAACGACAAGTGAGCATTAGGTTATCAGTCGTTTTTTAATGTAGTACCAGATACGTGGCCCTCGTCCATCGTCCTGGAGACGCTAAAAACCTTGAAAAACGTGAAAACCAACTCGTACTATTGTCAACATACCGGTTAGTTGTTATGCAATCTTCCACTAAAATGTTTCAATTGCGCTGGGTGGATCTGAGTTGCAAGAAATTGTAGTTCGACGTTTAAAGGGAACCATGTTGTTTGTCCTGTGAGAAAATAATATAACACTTTGGCCATGAGATGGCGAAATAAAACATCTGCGCGTTTGAAAACGAACAACAATAAAGAAGATTTTATCAACACATGTTGTTTCGATCGGTCCAGAGAAGTATGTGGGATAGTAGCTGTTTAACTACAATTGTATAGTTGACCCTATGATCAAAGTTAACTAACGTTTGAGGTCAAACTTGACAATGAAAAGTGTTTTTTGAAAGTTACTGTCCAGTTTTAACAGCAGGGCCGTCTTTAACCAATGATTGAATAGCTGGGCGTGAATGGTTATTGGGTCAGATAACGGCACATTGTTTCGATCACTATAAGAAGGAGAATAACAAACGTCATGATTTTCATTTTTCTAAATAATAAAACAATAGGGGCATTTGTATTTAGTGTATAAAAAGAAAGTTGCATATACATATTGTTACAAGGTATTATTTTTCAGCAAAAATATGGTTTAATCATGCAGTTTGGTTTAAATAAACTTGGCTTACGACCTTTAAGTCATGCTCACTTGGGCAACTGTACGACAGCACAAGCTAGATTTGCCAAACTGCATTCGTACTATTTTATTGGTTATACACCTAATTTATATCTTTTTGATTGATTGATATGTAAATTATTGTAAATGTATTCATTGTTGTGATTTTTTAATAAATTAATATATTAACGAATTTACGATTTTTTATTCCCACACAACGCCGTTACCTATCGCCGCATTAGAGCCTTTGGTCTTTTTACATACCGTTCACGGTTAGTGCTTCCTCTGACTACGGACCACTGTCGTCAACGCTTGAACTGGAGCAGAGAACGGCAACATTGGGAGGCAGGATGGCATACTGTCATCTTCAGCGACGAATCGCGATTCTGTCTAGGTAAACACGATGGTCGAAGAAGGGCAAGACACCGCCGTGGAGAACGGCGTGGTATTGGATTTGCCGTTGAGAGGCATGGATTGTTGGAGTAATGGTTTGGGGTGGTATTATTTATTTATTTATTTATTTCCAACAGGTGAAACCCAATTACAGGAAACGCTGAAAAAGATAACAATTAAAGAGACATGGTTCTTGGACTTAAATCTATAGTATCACACATTCTAAATAAGATTGAATGATCTATAGCAGTTAATAATCGATGCACAACTGTCACTGTAAATATCACACGATTCAGTAACACGCAGCACATGAGATTAATTGGCGATTTTGTCATAACATTTGTACGGCCAGCTTGACAATAGAATGCCGTTTGTTGTCGACTCCCTAGCCTTGGAACGCGGAAAAATATTTTTTCAAGTAAATTTTGACAGTCAATTGTATTGTGAATGAGGCGATACAAAAATGACAAAGCAAATATGTTTCGTCTTGTTGACAGTGAATCCAAATTGAAAAACTCTAATAGAGCACTATGGTCACAACCTCTTTCTGGATAAGAACCTGTGCATTTAAGGTGAAAATACTTTAAAGCTTTACGTTGATTGGCCTCAAGGATCACGACAGAATTTTGGTATTTAGGAGACCAGATCAGAGTCGCATACTTCAACTTGCTCCTGACAAAAGTAAAAAATAAAGTCATTAATGTACTAGGCAGTCTAATAAGTCCCTGAAAAATGAAACACGGAGACGTTTTTTTGGCCAAAGTCGGGTTTATTTTTCAACATACTCTCCTTTTAGGTCGATACAGCGAATCCAACGATTTTCTAACTTTTTGATACCGTCCGAAAAGTACTCGATCGGAAGGTCTCCAAAATACGCTTCAGTTTCAGCTATGAGCTCCTCATTTGAGTAAAAACGCTTACCGATGAGCCATCTCTTCAGGTTAGGGAATAAGTAATAGTCGCTGGGGGCCAGGTCTGGTGAATACGGTGGCTGAGGAACCAATTCGAAGCCGATTTCGTGCAATTTTGCTTGTGCAACTAAGCATGAATGAACAGGCGCATTGTCGTGATGATAAAGCGGTTTTTTCTTCTTCAAATGCGGTCGTTTTTCGGCGATTTCGATTTTCAATCGGTCCAATAATGATGAATAATATGCTCCGGTTATGGTTTTACCTTTTCCAAGATAGTCCACGAATATTATGCCATGAGCATCCCAAAATACGGAGGCCATAACCTTTCCGGCCCATTGTTGCGTTTTTGGACGCTTCGGAGCACTTCGGCCCGGTGGAACCCACTGTTTTGCCTGTTGCGTTGACTCAGGAGTGTAGTAATGGATCCAGGTTTCATCCATGGTTACAAATCGTCGCAGAAACTCGGTCGGCTTACGCGAAAATAATGCCAAATTCTGCTGGGAAGTCGTCACACGAATTCGTTTTTGGTCCACTGTGAGCAAACGCGGCACCCATCGCGCGCAGAGCTTCTTCATGCCCAAAACTGAATGGACGATATTGCCTACGCGTTCCAATGACATGCCTACAGCATTAGCTACCTCTCTCAATTTCACTTTGGGATCATTCAACATCATATCATGGATTTTTTCGACGTTTTCTGGTGTAGTGACCTCTTTTGGGCGCCCAGATCGTTCAGCATCAACTGTGCTTGTACGGCCACAACGAAACTCCGTAAACCACTTATGAATCGTTCCAATCGACGGTGCAGAGTCCGGGTAATACTTATCCAGCTTGGCCTTGGTCTCGGATATCGTTTTCTTGCGTAGATAGTAGTGTTTGATCAAAACTCGAAACTCGGATTTTTCCATATTAAAAAAAACTCTGAGGTTAGTCGCTTCTCAGTGCTGTAACTTGTAAATGTGTAAACATGAATGGCTGAAGTTTTGACAGGTGTCATTTGAAGGATCAGGCTCGACAAAAATGGTTCGCATTAGTGAATACTAATGCCATCTCTTAGAATTTTCAGGTACTTATCAGACTGCCTAGTATCAACATTGGAGAAACCCTTCCAGTTTCTGATACAGAAACCAAGTAGTCGAGTGGCAGCCGACGAGATATTGAGTATATGCTCAGTAAACGTTAGCTCGGTATCGGAAATGACTCCAAGGTCTCTATAAGAGGTGCATCTGTCTATAACCTGACCATTGATATTATAATTATCATAAATTAAATAGTTAACTTTTCTTGTATGTCATAACTTTACATTTCGAAACATTCAGACTGAGACAGTTTCGTGAACACCATGACGAAATTAGAGCTAAGTCATCTTGCAACATGACGCAATCCTCGATTGTCTTGACTGACGTGCAGATTTTAAGGTCATCAGTGAAAAACACACTTCCGTTCAAAAGACAAGTCATTAATAAATATTAAAAACAATAATGGACCTAGATTTGACCCTTGAGGTACCCCAGACGTAGCCCGATAGTAACTCGACCTATGACCACCATATTCGACAAATAACCTATCCCTCAAATATGAATTCATGAGCGACAGCATTGCATCAGACATACCCACTGTTTTAAGCTTATCCAGAAGTGCATACTGATCAACTTGATCAAACGCCTTCTGAATATCTGTGTAGATGACATCAACTTGTCCCTGACCGTCCAGTACTTCAGAAATGTACTGAGTAATTAGAGCCAAGTTGGTGACCGTAGATCTGCCTCTCACAAACCCATGCTGATTAATAGAGACTGCACCCCTGACCGAGCAGTAAACCGTTTCATAAGCGATAATCTCAAACAACTTGCTGAAATTGCACAGGATTGCTATTTGGCGATAGTTGGAAATATCAGAAATATCTCCACTTTTGTGAATAGGACATATTGTAGAGGTCTTCCAGATATTTGGATATGTCTCTGATTTTAGAATTAGGTTGAATATGGAAGCCAGCGGTTTCGCTAGTATATGAATGCAATCTTTAACGAAAAAACTTGGAATACCATCACATCCAGACGTCATTTTGTTCTTTAATCTTTTCGAAGCCCTAATTACGTTTTCTTCACTTATATTTTTTAAAGAAATGATATCGGTAGAATTATTTGTTGGAGGAGATGACCCTAGTAGACCAGATGGGATAAAAACTGTTGAAAAGAAGGTAGCAAAACTGTCCACTATATCCTGAGGCATATCGCAGACATTGCCGTTAAGCGCCATCCTTGGGTGATTCTAGATTGCTGTTTTTTGATCTGGACAAATGACCAGAATTTGCTAGGATCATTCACAATGGCATCCTCAACCGATCGGACGTAAGCGGATTAGGCAACACTGATCTGGTTCTTAATGAGCTTCCTAAAATTACTGAACTGATCATAAGAAAACTTAGTACCGTCACGTTTCCAGTTCCTTCTTGCTATGTCCTTCTTCTTGATATTGCTGCAACAGCGTTGCTAGGTAACGCGGAGATGAGCTTCGCTATCCAGACGTATTCTATTTCTTTCTAACATATGTGTGTATACACACTTCTCTCTCGAACACATTGAACTCAAGCCGCCAGAAAAATTTTGTTATTAATTTATATAAATCATTTTCTTTTGGAAGGATCAATGTTATAGTTTGGGACAGATTCTTTTAAACGGAATGGAATATATTTTATTGCACATTAGGATCAATCACTCCAAGTGAAGGAGATTGATTATTGAACATCTTGTGATCTGTTATGACAACTGATTGTTGAGTTATACGAGGGATGTCTTTTAAGTTTTGCATATGGAAATACAACAACACGGTAGGTAGTTTTAAATGACTTTATTGTTTTTCGAAGTATTCTCCACGAAGATTAATACACATCTGCATGCGCTCGAACCAATTTTCGAAGTTGAATGCGTCAACTGCTTCTTCTGGTGACTGGAACCTTTGATCACGCAGTCTGTTTTTAGTTTTCGGTAAAGTAAACAAATCGTTAGGACTTAGATCGGGACTATATGGAGGATGGTCCAATAATTCCACGTTTTCTTTCGTTAAATACTGCCTTGTTTTTTGGGCTGTGTGCGAGCTTGCATTGTCTTGGTGGAGGATGATTCTTCTTTCGGGGTTGATTTTTCGAAGCTCGGTGATGACTTTTGGCAAACAAATGGTGCTATACCAATCCGCAGTAACAGTTATTTGCTCATTAAGAAGAATTGTTGCAATATGACCCGCTTTCGACACAAATGTCGCGACCATCTTTTTCGAAACACTTCGAGAACGGATTACTTTTGTTGGCTTTTCTTCACCTTGGAACACCCAAACAGCCGACTGTCGTTTATTTTCTGGTTCATAACAGTAAATCCACGATTCATCACCACTAACAATGCTGTACACAATTTTTGAGTTTCCGGAATTGAAATGGTCAAGCGTTTTTTGACACCAATTAACCCTGGCTGCTTTCTGCTCTTCAGTCAACAGGTGGCGTATCCAACGAGAAACTAATTTTCTTACTCCTAATTCTTCATGTAAAATTTTTTGAATTGAGGTCTTCGAGATCTTCAAGGACGCCTCAATCTCGCGATATGTCACATGTCTATCTTCAATGATGAGTTTGCGCACAGCATCGACGTTTTCCTGGGTGACTGCTGTTTTTGGTGCACCCACCCTGGGATCGTCGCTAAGACTCATCCGTCCACGTTTGAATTCTCCATACCAACCGGAAATTGTCGTCTGATGTGGCGCTTCGTTGCCGAAAACATACAGTAACTCAGCAAGGCATTCTTGTTGCGATAATTGTCTCTGAAAGTTGTAATAAATTATGGCGCGAAAATGTTCTCGGTTGAGTTCCATTTTTCTAATGACTTGGTGATACTTAAAAATTCACTGTAGTGAGAACACTGCACGTGTTGTCGTGAAACTTTTTACTAAAGAGTGAGGTTAAGATTCAGTACTGACGTTCGATCCGCGCGGCCTACTATGTTTCTATATGCAAAACTTAAAAGACATCCCTCGTATAAGCGAGGGTCTATTTTAAGCGAGTCTATAATATCCGAAGACTTTACATGCCATTATTTATAGGACCTTAAATTGTATCCATTATATACGGGTTTCCATTATCAGCAAGTTCATTATAAGTGGATTCCACACTGTATATTATGATTTGGGATATCCCCCGTTTCCCTTTCGACTTCGACTTCAAGGACAACAAACAGAAAGAAAGTTTTGCTTATGCTTTTTCTTAAGGGCTTATTGATTAAATCAGGTAAACAGACTGCAAAAAAAACTAAAGTGTATCATATAACCAATAATTTATTAAACACAGTGTAACTTCATAAAGTATAAATAACGCTTTTTCCAAAGTTTACATTATCACAGATGATAAAGCCTTAACCATTTAGGCAGATGATAAAATAAAATATTCATATTCCTATTTTATAAACTTAAATCTACTAGATAAAAATGACACATGTATGAAACTCAGTAAAATTATGATCTTGACCTTATTCATTTTCGGTATAAAATTAATAGTGGATTTATTATTTTATGACCGATTTATTTTGTAAGAACCTAGCATCCTACCTAGTTTTTAATCAAGATTTCGAATTAATAATTTCTAGTAACAGATCAACTTTCACACGTCAGTGCTTTACATTTTTCTGGCTGGCTCTTTATGAAAAGCATGTTCTTTTTATTAAATCCATGGGACTAGCGGTGAAAACGTATCTTCTGCACGTGAACTCGACTTGCTGCGAGAAGAGGCTTCAAGAAAATCAAAGATTTTTCGAAAAGGAAAAGTGATCAAAACAAAAGTAATCACTCGTTTCATTCTTCCATCAAAGAGGAATATTCACACACAATTTCAGAGATGTACTTATATTTGTTAACAAGTTCCGATTGAAGAAACAAAAATGCGTTTTTTAAAAATAAAAAAAATGTTTTTTGTTCATCTCTATACACACCATGAAATTATCAGATGAAAAGGATTTAGAATACTGCTGCAAACAGGAAGCTGAAAAGAAATCTAAAAAAAAGAACGTGCCACCTTGAATGCAGTTTTTATGACCGAAAGGGCAATGAACTTTAAGGATTTAAAAATAATACACCTGATTATCAGTATCTATCCCATCATTCACTCATTTCGGCATTGCCAACAAGTATGCTAAAAAGCATACGAGCAACGTAAAAAACATTTTGGATCGCAATTCAAAAGTTTATGGAATAACCTGTAGGGGACACCGGGGCGGGGCAGAACGGTTTGCATACCATATTTCTCACTGTAAAGGCTAGATGTTACTAGCGCCCTCTGTTATCGTTTAGTAGAACGCCACGCATCGGTCGGCAACAATGAACAGATTACAGCAAACAGTTCAAAGTGTTTTCGGCCAAACGTAATGAATTTGTGCATGTGGATATAACTTTTCAGGATTTTTAATACAATGTAAGTTATTTAATTATTTGTTTTGGCGTTTTTTGTTCATTTAACTGTACACGGCATGTGGCATATTCACGACAAAATATTAATAAAGCGTGTCTATGCAAAGGTTATATTTTGTTATGAGTAGCTTGTGGGGCAGAACGGGTTGGGACCCCATTCTGCCCCTTATTATCAACGATCTCATTTTGATGCCTTGTGTTGCTTTCAGATGGTTCGCAATTATATTAGAAAGACCGATCGGCAACGGTGGAGTTCTGAAACTATGGAACGAGCTGTAGCTGCAGTAGTAAGTGGCGTAATGGGTTGCAAGAAAGCTTCAATTCAATTCCAGCTTCCACAAACTACATTGGAAAGATACGTGAAAAAGCGTAGGACTGACCCAAATTCTGTGATTGATAAAACCGCTGGCAAATATCACTGTGTTTTTACTCAAGACCAAGAGGTAGAACTAGTTGTATATTTAAAGGATATGCAAAAGAGATTGTTTGGTTTAACATTAAAAGAATGGTTGTGAGCATCCATTTAACAAAGATACAGAAATGGCGGGGGAAGACTGGGCCCACTAATTTATGAGGCGTCATTCAGAGTTAAGTTTGAGGAAGCCTGAGGCCACTTCTGGAGCACGTGCCATGGGATTTAACCGAGTAGCAGTCGCGCAGTTCTTTACATTATTAAATAAAGTTATTATTGAGAAAAAAATTACCTGTGAAAGAATTTATAATTGCGATGAGACTGGCATTACAGTGATTCCAAAGCAGCATTCAAGGATTATTGCAAATAGAGGACAACGTCAGGTAGGAGTATAGACTTCTGCTGAGCGTGGCAATACAGTAACGGCAGAAATTTGTTGCTCTGCTGCGGGAAATTTCATGCCCCCCTATTGATTTTCCCGCGACAAAAGAAGAGACAAGAATTTGAATTTCGCTTGCCACCTGGAGCTTGGATTGCGGCAAATGACTCTGGAAGTGTTTTTCGAATGGTTCAAGAAGTTTATTAAATTTTCTGGTGCAAAAAAAGAAACTCCCGTGCTCTTACTATTTGATGGACATGCATCTCATACGAAAAACATCGATGTAATAGATCTGGCTCGAGATAATGGCGTTATTTTATTATGTTTCCCACCGCACTGTTCGCACAGGCTCCAGCCTCTAGATGTGGCATTTATGAGACCTTTAAGTCTATACTACGAAGATGAAGTGCGAAGATGGTTGCGATCAAACCCAGGTAAGGTTGTTACTTTATTTCAAATTTCAACCTTGTTTGGACAAGCTTTTATTAACGCCGCTAATATGAAAACCGCGCTAAAAGGTTTTGAAAAAACTGGTATTTGGCCAACAAACGAGGGAATTTTCACTGACGATGACTTTTTACCAGCCGAGACAAGTAATATTCCCATTGCTGAGACAGAAATTGCCCCTACTCAAGTAACTCAAGTCGATGATTTTCCAGAAAATAATTCCTTCAATGATCCCTCAACCCCACCTCCCAGAGAACTAAAGGAAACTAGCAACGAAACTGAAAATGGCTCTTTACCCTGAATGTCTGACACTCCTATTGCACCAATAAAAAAAGTGATCACCTCTAGTTATCCAGCCGTTTCTCCGGAAGCTTTTATGCCAGTACCAAAACTAACGACAACCGTTAAGCGAGTGCAGAGAAAGAGAGGCAAAACCACTATTATTACAGAGTCACCGTATAAAGCAGAGTTGACGGAGGCATTAGAAAAAACAAAGTGAAAAAAATCTTTCAGGTCAGAAGCAGAAGAGGGAAACAGAAAAGATGTCTCGACCAAAAAAGCAAAAGATAATAGAAGCTAGAGTAAGCTCCGAGGAGGAAGAAGAAGACACATTATGTTTATTCTGTAACGACCAATATTCAACATCAACTGAAGGTTGGATTTCTTGCATTCAGTGTACTCTTGTGCGGGAATAGATAGTGACGACGACGAGTCAGAACTGATTTGTGACATTTGTAAACCGGAATACCCCATCGTGCCCCGCCGGCGGGGCAGAATGGAGTAAAAGACACTTTTTGTTTAAGTTGATGACATAAAAAAACTGTTAGCCTTATTTTCATATTTGTTTGTGTTTTCATGTTTATGATACCTCAATAGATCATTATGTACCTTTTTAAATTTCTGTAACATCATTTACCCACCCAAACTTGAAATTGAATGTTACGGTCCCCATTCCGCCCCGGTCTCCGCTACCTACTCATTTATTTCAGCTACTGCTAAAAGGGTTGGTGTATGCCAGAGCCACCATGAGGTTGAGAAAAAGTTTGGTAACACAAAAAATTATTTTTTTAATTAAAACACTTTTTTTAATAATCCGCCTGTTCTTTATCATGTATTTAGGACGTACAGCTTTTACGACGTCTCTAATATCTCGAAATGACGTTTTTTGAACGTCTTTGAGATTTAGTTGTGCTACTTGGGTTACTGTCTCCTCCTCCCTAAAAACAACACTAATGAAGCAATTTGTTTTCCTCGCTAAGTCCGCAGCAGATAAGACCTACCCCTACGTATGTAAATATATAAAAACTTCCCTCAGTTCGTGCTGGTACCAGCTTGACCTTGCGCTAACCTCTGTTGCCTGAGCAACTCATCAATCTGACCCTTATACATCTCTTTGACGTCGGTCAGATCCAACTTCAGCTCCTCGTTCTCCTCGACCTTCTCGCCGTACAGAAGGCACAGCGTGTCGTACTGTTTCTCCAGTTCTTTGAACTTTTCGCTGAGCTTATCGTAATCCGACGCTTTCCCCTCGAGCGTCTCCACTCTGGTGAGGAGCGTGGATATCTCGTCGTTGAGCAGCGTGCGTTCTTGTTCCCTTCGGTTGAGTTCCCATTGCAGCTGTTGGACTTCGCCTTCGCGCTGTTTCAGATTCGATTGCAGCATTTGCATCTCGTACATGTTGGTGTAGCGTGGTGCGTGGGTCACCTCGAATGGTTCATCCTGGAATGGCGGCATGATAAATGCGTACAGTATTAAACGGTTTACATAATTGTTTAGTAAATACAGCAGATGCTCGATAACGTAAACTTGCGCTAATGTAAACACAAACTTCGTTCTATAGCATCAAACTGAAAGCGCGATAACGTAAACAATGTGTACGCTCGATAAAGTAAACAACTCTCGGCGCACGGAAACAGCGCGACGGAAAAATGCTGAAGCCTCGATGATTTATGTCGTGCGTCGGGGAGTCCCCGATTTATGATGTAGAGTGTAGGGGATTCACCTCTGCGATAAAACACGACAAACTCGTTCAGTATGATCGTTTACTATACGTTTATACGTACGTATGTATTTCATTTTTGAACTTAAGTGAATACATTGCACGCGTTAATATATTTTACGACTATGGCATCCACATCCTATAAAAGAAAGTGTTTAAAGTTGAGTGAGAAAGTGAAAATCATAGACGAAGTTGCACTAGGTGAGGGAGTGACACAATTAGCAAAAAAATATGGAGTATCGAAAGCAACAATCTGTAAAATTAAGCGTATGAAAACTCAAAGTTTACAAAGAACATGCAATACATTTGGAGGTCCGGGAAAAAGAAAAACTTTAAAAGATGCGAAGGCACCTAAAATGGAAAATTCCCTGTATAAGTGGTTTTTAAAACAACGGGAAAATCATGTCCCAGTTAGTGGCGAAGTACTTAAACAGAGAGCGAGACTGTTAAATGAAAAACTGAAAGAAACTGAAAATTTCGTAGCTAGTGATGGCTGGCTACAACGATTCAAAACAAGATATGGAATTCGACTGCTGTCTATATCTGGTGAAAAATTATCAGCACAACTACAATTAGTGCAACCATTCAAAGAAAAATTGATGAAAACAATTAACGAGCGAGATTTAAGAATGGAACAAATGTACAACGCATATGAAAGTGGCCTTTATTGGAAAATGTTACCAGAGAAAACCTATGCTGCATCATTTGAAAAATTTGCCCCGGGAAGAAAGCCGGAGAAACAACGAATAACGTTTCTAGCCTGCACTAATGCTAATGGTTCACACAAAATAAAGCCACTGGTAATTGGGAAAGCAAAAAATCCGCGCTCATTTAAAAATGTTAATATCCCTGTTGATTATGACTGTTCAAAAACCGCTTGGATGACTAGCAGTATATTCCTGAAATGGTTCCACAGGTGCTTTGTCCCTCAGGTATGACAATCAATTATCACAAATGCTCTATTCATAATTTGAAGATTTGTTTTCAATTTGTAGGTAGCCATCCTCCCGAGCAACAACTGAGGAGCAGGGATGGGTAAATTTTCGTCATGTACATGCCGCCCAACGTAACACCGTTAATTCAACCGATGGACCAGAATATAATAAGACTCACCAAACTATACTATAGGAAATTTCTACTTTCGTCTGTCTTATCAAAGAATCCTGAAAACTTATCTGAGGCTTTAAAAAAAGTAACATTACGAGAAGCTGTTTTAGATTTACATATGGCCTGGAATGAACTTAACCAGCAAACTATTCAAAAATGTTGGAACAATCTCTTTTGTACTAATAATGAAGATGATGAAGAAGACGATGTCCCCTTAAGCGTAATTAGAGAACGTTTGCGATCCAATAATGATAATGTTATTAGTGTGTCATTGGATGTTGTTGATTTATTGAAAACAGTGAATCCCAACATTGTTTGTACTCCTGCTGATATTAATTTATGGAACGAAGATAAGCAGACGAATGATGCTGATAAGGAGGAGGATATGGACAGTGAGGATGATGAGAACGATCCCATTAAAGTCAGAAGTGTAGTGACTGACGCGCAAGCTATACAAGTTTTTAACCAAGCTTTAGATTGGGCTGAAAGAAAGGAAGTTTCATACACGGATATTTTAGTTCTTCGTAAATTACGGGCGCAGGCATTGGAAGACAATGCTAAGCGCAAATTTACGCAGACAAAAATTGTTAATTATTTTTCTTCTAATTAAAAAATACTTATCACTGTTAGAATATTTGTTTATTTTGTTATAAATAGTAAAAAAAAATATTATATAAATCACGTTCGCTAATGTAAACATTTCGATAATGTGAACCACACTTGGATTAAATTAGTTTATATTATCGAGCGTCTGCTGTATAAGTCAAAAAACTAAAGTTGGAGATATTCCGTCAAGCGTTCAAAATATATTAGTAGGGGTGCCGCGTGGGAGTAAATTAAGGTCGTTACTATTTATTATTTATATAAATGATATCTCTATCATTTTAGAACATTGCACAATTCAAATATTTGCGGACGATACATTGATATATACAGTAATGGACAAAACTATATAGACAAATATGAATATTTACCTAAATAACGTTAGAAAAAGAATTCATACTTCATTGCTCCATAAACAAATGCGTTATTAGTAGAAAAACTAAATTCCTTGTTTGTACATTATCTGCAATGAACACAATACAAGTCTGAATATAAAATATGTAGACAAATTCTTTTCAACATTAGTTTAGTACAGTTTCGTGTCAGAAGAGGATTAGTTTGTGTTCATCAAGTATTGTGGAATAAGTGATTTTAAGACCATGCCGCGTGGTCCAGAAATTTCTTTCGATGTGAAAACTAAGATCATTGACTGATACAAAGATGGTCAACGTCAAGTCGAGATTGCCAAAAATTTGAAGCTGAAGCGTAAAGCAGTTTGGGCAATATTGAACAAATATAAACAAAAAGGTATCTTGGAAAATACGAGATAAAAATTATTCAAACAAGGATGAACTTTTTGCCGCTTTAGAGCAAAATTGGAGACATGTTGATGAATCTTATATCAGGAAAACTTCTACAACCTATGCCGAGACGATGCCAGGCGGTGATTGATAACAATGGTTATGCTACAAAATATTATCACAAACATGGTTGGTTTTCTATAATTCAATGAACTTTGCTTGTTTTTTCTATAATTGTTTTGCTTTGTCTATATATTTTTATCCTTCATAGTTCCAGTTTTTTTCAATTAATTTTTTATTGAAGGGAGTCTAATGAATTTATTTATGTATAAGTGAGTATTATGCTATAACGGATTATGTATACAGTTTGAGTATTAATAAAACAAGTTAAAAAAGAAATACAGCACAATATTAATTTGTCTATATACTTTTGTCCATTACTGTATATATATATATATATATACAGGGTGGCCAAACACGTGACGTCATAAAAAAAAAATTAGATTCCCCACATCGAGAGGAACCCAAATCACCCCCATATATATCGTCCGATTTTGTTTAGTTTAGGAGTTATGATTTTTTTTTCGGATTTTTCGAGAATTTTTGAGTTCTGTGTTTATTTTTACCATAACTTCGTTAATAATTGTGATAAATGCCTGCTTTTTTCACGATTATGTAGCTAAGACCTAAGGCTTAACTATCATATAATCATTCAAGTCATGTAACTAATACTACTTTTTAATTTTTTTCATAATCTTCGAACATAACAAAAAAGTAAAAAAGTGCAACAACTTTGAACGTTTATAAAAAATTGAAAAAACATGTTCTTACTATTCGTAAGTATCTTAAAAACTTCCTTACGGTATCAGCTATTTACCGTAAAAATTTCATCAACCTAGCTTTACTACATGCTACCGTAATTGTGGCTCAAATAGAACCGAACCCAAAATTGGATAACCCTCTGCTCAATAGAAATTGTTAGTTTCGGAAAAAAAATTTGCAAAAACCACAAAAACACGTTTGATTTTTACTGAACAGCAGATTATTATTCATTTATGTTATTTACAAGAGGTTTTCAAAATGTCTGCCTCTAACAGAAATGCACAGTGTACACCTACGTATGAAATTTTGTTTTGAATCTCTAAATGCTTGTGTGTTGTTTTTCAACACATGTGTCGCTTCTTGAATTTTGTTCCTCAATGAATTTTCATTTGCACATTCTTGGGCGAATGTTATGTCTTTAAAATATCCCCAAACAAAAAAATCAATGGGGTTGAGGTCAGGGGAGCGTGGAGGCCATCGTATCGGTCCGTTTCGTCCGATCCATCTGTCTGGGAACCTTTCGTTTAAGTAGTTTCGCACGATCGTTGCGTTGTGGCATGGTGCACCATCATTCTGGAACACCATGTTCCGTCTGGCTTCCAGGCTTGAATCTTCCAGCAATAATGGTAGGCTATTTTCAAGGAAGCTTTTGTAGGCTACCGAATCCAACCTTGACGGCAGTTCAAATGGACCGATAAATTCCATATTGAATATTCCTGACCACATGTTCACACTAAAACGGTGTTGAAATGTCGACGGCCTTGACTGGTGGGGGTTTTCAACAGCCCAAGTATGTAAATTATGGATATTGAATATCCCTGTTCTTTCAAAACGTGACTCGTCAGTCCATAAAATTTTATCAAAAAAATCGGGATCCTCTCCTTGTCTTCGCAGCATTGTCTCGCAGAAATCCACTCTTAACTGGTAATCTGAAGGCATCAACGCTTGAACTCTTTGAACATGATAGGCATGATAACCTTCTTCATGAAGAATATTTTGTATCGATGTTCGTGGTATTCTAAGGTTTTGTGCCATAGATCTCGTACTCGTTGAGGGATTCCGGCTAATTTCTTCAAGTACTACTTCTCTGCGATCCGGATCAGCTGTAGGATATCCTTCATTGCTCCCTCGTCCTGGAATGCGGCCTGCCATGAAAGTGTTATGTGTGTTAATAAAAACACGGTGGTCTGGGTAATACTCAGGTTGTGGTCCGCCTCGGCGTATAAGTTGTTCCCGGTACAGCTGAGCTGCTAAAGCGCCGTTGCCTTGAGCAACGCCATAATAATAATGCATCGACATTTCAACACCGTTTTAGTGTGAACATGTGGTCAGGAATATTCAATATGGAATTTATCGGTCCATTTGAACTGCCGTCAAGGTTGGATTCGGTAGCCTACAAAAGCTTCCTTGAAAATAGCCTACCATTATTGCTGGAAGATTCAAGCCTG